CCCCAATGTGAGGCCCCCGTTCGATAGCTAAGTTGGTTCAAAAAAATCCAATAACTATGGTTTATGGTATTTACAACTATAGTTGCTGGGGCTTATAAACCAACTTATATCTTGGGGGCCTCACATTGTAGATATCGCCAAGTGGATTATCCCATGGCTATTGGAACATATTGGAACCCCAAACTTCTGCTGTCGCAATGCAAAGGTCGAGCAACTGCTTCCTCGCGACTGAAGGCCAGTACCACTGGCGGGGGAGTGGAGTCATTTCTTTACCGGAAACCTATAGACGTTTCTTGTACACTACTGTACCTATACCATTCATGTGTTTGATGATAACATATTGACCTTCTACATGAATAGTCAATGTTGTGTCTGTAATGGAAATTTATTTTTGTCAATTGATTGTGATGCAAAGAAAACACATACTGGACACTGGAAGCCATGTTTTTTTTAAACACACATATACACGGTGCAATGTAAATGCAATAGTAAATAGTATTACTAGTAAATCACTGGCAGGTTACATTGTTTTTTTTGAATTTTCTAAATAGTCCACAAGTTTTATGTTTTCATGATCAGAAATGGAGATTTACATAGATTTGCCCATTCAAAATGGCTATTTCATGCTATTTCATGGTATTTCATCATCCCACATTAAGATTCAAACAGTACGAGTCTCCAGCGTCTCCCATGATCATCGGAACAGGACTCAGCGGCTTACTGGAACATATATTTACGTACTGGGAGCAGCTAAAAAAAGATGGATACAGTATCTATATATATATGTATATACACACACACGTTCTATCATATATATATATATATACATACATACATCATAATATTATTTGTATATCTGCATCTTACATATGTATGTACTGTATATAACTATATATATAATTTACACACATATTACAGTATCATAAAAACTTAGACCAGCTCCACTAGAACCATCACCTTAGGACCTTGAAATTAGGAGTATATATGTGTTTTTCTACTCCAGTCATTACAGTGGATCCTGACGTTGCTAGGTGCAAGACGGGCAAGACGAGGATACGCCGGGGGATTGGATTGATGAATGCCATGCGAGTTTGCCGCCAATGCTTCCACATGGTAATAGACGATCAACATAGAAGGGCAAATGCAAAGAAACGTGGTGTGTAATTTATAGAACCACGGATGCGTACAATCCCAAGCAATATGTAGCTAGTTTGGCTGTTAAATGTTCGATTTGTTACAGTCTATAGCAGAGTTTTATAGACATTTCTCAAGACTATGATCCTAAAAGTCGTCAGTTCTACATGAAACTCCATGAGACGTGAAGCAACAACACCAATCTTGGAGGTTCTGGGCAACTCCCCAGAAACCCAGGAATCTGCAGAATCAAATCATGCAGGTTCTCGTCTTCCAAAGTTGGGGTTGTCTGCAAATTTGGAACCCCGGGCCCCATGGTTTTGAACATCATGTTTACCATTTGGAATCGCCAAAAATTGGGGAAATTCCATGAAATTCCACGGGATTCCGTCATTGTTTCGGTCATTTCTGCCAGTTTTCCATGTCACTTGGGCGCAGGACCCTCAGGTGTTGATGGCTGACGCCGCGCGACGGCTGGCCCGTCTGGAGGTGCATTAGAGAAAGAGAAACCAGCACAATGGATTTTCAATACTCCAGCTGGTTGGTGGTTTGGAACATGAATTTTATTTTTCCATATATTGGGAATAATCATCCCAATTGACTAATTTTTTTAAAAGGGGTTGAAACCACCAACCACTTATACTAACCAAAATATTGAGATATCTTGAGAATACTCTCTGGTGTCATCAAACATCTGGGAAATTCCCAGATAGGCAATGTTCATAAATTGTCTATCCCAAAGTTTGATTATCGGAGAGTAACATGTTATTTTACAGGCCATGCTTCGTTGGTTTGCAAAATAGCTCGTTTGAACATCGGTGTTAGGCAGCAACTTCAATTAAATCTCTTTGATATCCCATAATCCTTCTCCATGTGTAGCAGGTAGATCCAATTTGTTTGATGCGCTGAAGAGCACAGGAGGAGTTGGAGTCCCAGCGTCAGGGCCTCTGCCGCCGACGCTTGCAACCCAAGACGGAGGCGGGACTTCGCGGGCCACAGCGCGGTCAGCCCATGGGGTATAATCCAATGATTCAACACACATAGTGGGGATATTTTGTCCATAAATCTGGGTAAATTTCATCACGACCGAACCCTGTTCTCCCGAGCCGTGGAATCATGGTTCTCATAAGGGAAATCATCCCCAAATGGTCCAACAATTCAGGTTGGTGAATTATTATGATTTACCCAGATAAATGCCAGTTGTTGATGGGCATTCATTCTTACAAGTCTATGTATCTCAATGGGAATTTCAAGACCCTAAAATGGAGCTACGTTAGTACCATATTTCTGGCCATATTTTGTGGGGATATTCCCTGAAATTTAGGCCTGAACAATAGGCCTTATACATGGTAGGTACCTCCAATTAATCGGTTCCTGAAATGGCCATTGATCATCTGAATTACAACAGTCTGACTGCCCAAGCTCAACACATATGGTGGTTCAGGGAATTGTCCGAAACCGCCTGTTTGATCTCAGGTGTGAAATCCAGCAATGTTGAGAATGCTAGTTTTGGAGTCAAGATCAACATCCATCGAAACGGGAGCATTGGATACTCCAAGAACGGGATGCGGAACACGAACGCTGCCATCTGTGGTTTCCAAATACCCAAAGCGCCAAAAACGGATGATGTCAGTTAATTTTGAAGCGTTTTGATTTGCATGGTCCCCGGGTCCCAGTGTAGTTGTAATTGTCCAGCTTGTTTTTGAGCGCGTTCAACGGGGAGCCGAGCCTCAGCAGTCGGGCACCATTTAGCGGACCCGATGGATGACCCCACTGGTATTGATTAATAATTGCAGTGGAGAAAGTCACAGTGAGTAGTAGGTATAGCTGATGGTAAATGATTGTAAATTCTTGTGAATGCCCGTAAGTGGTAAGCGAAACATCCCAATGTTGTTTGATCAGTGACAGAAATGATCCCCATGAAACACGTCATTTCCCCATAATTTCCCCAAGAAATCTGACCATGTTTTTCTCATCTTTTTTCCGCGAGGCTCCTGAAGTTCAAGCAGCGCACGCGCTGATGCATGAGAGTCCCTCGGCCCTCATGTATCGAAGAGGCGATGTGCTGGGCAGGCCATGTGCTGTGCTGAAGAAGATCAATGTAGAAACATATTGCTAATGATTGAACATGATAGATGAATAATGATATTGATATTGATATTGATAATGAACATGATAGATGAATGAATAATGATATTGATTTTGATATTGATAATGAACATGATAGATGAATAATGAATATTGATATTGGTATTGATAATGAACATGATAGATGAATGAATCATGATATTGATATTGATATTGATAATGAACATGATAGATGAATAATATTGAATAATGATATTGATATTGATACTGATAATGATATCGATATTGATATTGATATTGATAATGAACATGATAGATAATTAATATATGAATGATGACTGATAATGAAGATGACAATTGAAGAGTATTTGTAGATAAATATTGATTGAACATGATGGATCACGATGGATGGATAGATGGATAGATAGATAGAGAGAGGGAGAGAGGGAGAGAGATAACTTCAAATATCTTCAAATAATCCCATGGATATCCCAAGACAAGAATTGGATGCGTCACTTCAAAGGGGGGTTACCCCATTTATCATCCATTTTTTACAGGATGTTTCATGAAATCAACCCTCCAGCTATTGGGGATCCCCCATCATCTCCGAGGTCATATGCCCAGAGTTGGCACATGACCTATTGGTGTTTGTTAACTTGACAAACCAGTGTGTTTTCCCATAGTATGTCAAAATGATATGTCCGTATAGTGTTTCCTTCTTATTGTAAGGATGTACATTTATGTACCATCTGTTTTCTTTTTTACTTTTACTTTGTGCTGAACCGGAATTGCCATCAAGAGTCCTAACCCCTCACCCCAGGTGCCATCGAAGGGTTAAAGGACCAGCGCGCGAAGTGTCGTGCGGACTGTGACCGGTTGCTGCGTGTGGCTTGGTGAATGGGTTTCTAATGGTTTCTGAACATGGAGGGTTGAATACTTGAATGGTCTAGAATGCTAAAAAAATGGTTTCGTCCCGCAGGGTTTGATATTTGAACATAGTTCTATCATATGTTATTTTTTTTTTGCCCGAACATGGCCAATGGGTTCAATGGGTTGCAGACTTGAAGAGTAAATCATAAAAAGACAAGGGTCCAGTCCCGACGCAAAACGACCACCACTGTGGTCCTAAGCCAGAACTTCAATGTTTGATCTATTCCCCTTTTGGGTGGTTCTTAAAATATCTTAAAAATGGGGGATCGCCAAGTGACCATGGGCCCATGGGTTTCAATATGAATGACTTGGATGATGACTGGGGTACCCCCATGACTTTGGAAACATCCATATCTTGGAGTCGAGTGTGTGTCCTCGAGGCCCTAAGAGCCCATAGCAGTGATGTTTACAGCCTCTTTCCAGTGTGGAGATGTATACGTAATATGCCGACAAAACCAACCATAACAAGATTGATATGTTTGTTCGAAAAATATTGATGATGATTGTATATTGTCGTGTCTGAAAATGGGATATGGGTACCCTGAATTGGCATTTCATGGGACATTTGATGCTAACGAATCAAATTTGGAGGAAGCCTAGTTTCAGAAGAACCTTGTGATGTGTTGTGGGCTGGACTCTGGAAGTGGTTTCATTTAGCACGTTTGACATGTCTTCGTTTCAAACTGGGGTAGAGGACAATCCCGTGTCTTGAAGTTTAGAGACAATCATCCCATAAACAAACTTGTTATATATTGGAGAATACCATAGTTGTGGACAACCACATAGTGCCCGTGTAAACAAAATCGCTTGACTTTTTTGGGTCAACCACTTTTTAAGTACTATAATTACCAGAAATAGGCTACCCCGAATCCATTGGGTATCATGTTCCCCACTGAAATTGCCACTGACTTTGTGCTTTGTTTCCAACACATTTTTGGGCCTGACTCCACCTCTTGTGTTGGTTAAAAGCCAAGAAATGTACCCCCATCATTGTGGTTGGCTGAATATTCATCAGGGATCCCACATATCCCAATTGTATATCCACATCGTTATAACCTGAATTGCCTAAGGCCTAAGTTACCTAAAAATGTTGATGGTGAAACTGTGAAATCCTAATTATTGACAATAAAGCCTTCAATCCTAATTTTGAACATTTTTTTTGGATAATAAAGCCTTTAATTATTAATTTTTGACAATAAAGCCTTTATCATGGTTTGTTTTATAATTACCATCTGGTTATTTAACATAGCCATGGAAAATGCCTGAAATAAATGGAGGTTTCTAGCTGGGAAAATCATCTATAAATGGGCCATTTTCCATGGCTATGTTAGTCATAACCAGAGGGTACCCATTTGTTGCTGATCGGAAGCCTACGAAGAGGCAGCCACGGCCAGTGACACGATATGGTCCCCGGAGCAGCGAGCTACGTGTAATGAGCTCCAAGTCTCCTGGTTGCAGAGATTATGAGGTTGGAGGATTTTTCGCCATACAGAAAATGCCGATTCATCGCCACACATTTGATTGATTGATGGCAAATGATGGCAAACTAAGGCACAACACATTATGATTTTGCTCGCAAAAAGTGGTGATGGGGCGATTTAGGACAAAATTAATGGGATCTGACTGACAAAAAGTGGTAGTTTGATGTTTCATTAAGAAAGAGGAATGAATCGACAAGAACTGGCATTTGCACAACAAACTGCGAGTGGGGGTGAGTTACTGTATTGCTTCTTGGCATTGTTTTTCAGGTGGGCTGAGTGACAAACATGAAATCACCAATAAGAACTCAAGCCGTTTATACTGGATATTTACGCGACTACATCTGGAGGTACAACAAGTCACAGTGAAAATACCGACCAATGGTGGATCCATATTAACATATTATGTGACCAGATGGCGGATGACGCCAGGATTAACGAAAAAAGGGCTCCTGAAGAACATTGAAAATGGATTCCATACTATCCCTATATACAAACTATATTTGCAAAGCTATAGCTATGGTACCTGCGGTAGGGGTCCGGAGTGTACAATACACAAAGAAAACTTGGCATCTGGAAACTTTCGGTAAGCATCTATGAAATCCATCTACGAAGCCCTCCATGTCATGACATGTCAAATCCGGAGAAACCAACCTCTCTGTGATTTCCATCCTCAATGTTTTCTGGATATATCCCGAAAGACTCCTAAAACCTGGTGGTGACCAGAGCGAATCAATCATGACATGTTCTCAATCTACAAAGGATAGTACAACCCCCAAGCGAATATCATCCTCATTCATCAACTATTTTGTTGCTTGAAGCTCTTCAAATTTCTATTGGCACCAAGGAGAAATGCGCGGAATTGGAGGAAGCATGGAACTCCTGTGCAGATACAGCAGAGCTTCTGAAAGAAGAAGTCGCTGAGGCGGTTCATGGTTATCCTCCAGTCTCGACAAACGTGTTGTCATTGAAATCCCCCATTTGGTTTGATGATTTTCCATTATTTTCCTATGAAAACCATTCAGAAGCTCCATTACCCATGTGCAACCCATGGTGCTGGAATATGAATCCCAACATTTACCCCATAAATCACCCAGTTTTGTAGGTAAATATACTATACATGGAGCTCCATCTTTTTTTCGGTTCTTCCAACCAGCGACGTGCTTGATTCCCAGAGGCGAATTGGTCCAGAATTTGGGATCAGATTGTCTCCAGGGACTGATTGGTACCATACCGGCCTGGTAAACGTTTATACATAACAATGGAAAATCGCCATGCTATGTAGGTGGGTAAATCAACTGTTTCGACTGGGCCATTCTCAATAGCTATGTAACAAATTACCAGAGGGTAACAACCTTCAATGATCATAAACCCGAGAACTTTATCGGCTACAGTCTACAGATGTTGACAGTACAATAGTCGTAAATGGTCATAAATCAGTAAATGTTTGAACACTAAAAGTAAAACATATGATGACAATGACAATTGACATTGATATGAATGATACTATGAATGATATTGATCATTGTATTGTTGACAATTATATAATAGTGACAATTTTAGTACCAGTTTCCACCTACTTCCCACATCTCCCAACATACAGGCCATGCCATCCAGACTCACAGCCATACTGCGTAGAAATGGCTCGCGACTCGGCTGCCTCGACATGGGGGAGATTCGCCAAACATGATCATTCATGGTCCAAGTTAATTTCATCATGCAAAACACATCAAAACACGTGCTTTTGATCGTGTTCACCATCACCAATCAAATATGTGAACAGGTTGGTGGTTTGGAACCATGGAATTTGATGACTTTCCATATATTGGGAATAATCATCCCAACTGACTCATATTTTTTCAGAGGGGTGGCTCAACCACCAACCAGTAATCAATGATTGATAGTGATCCTAATGGTGATTAATGATTATATACTAACATATAATAACTATGAATCTCTATTAATCATCAATAAACCACCAACCAGCTGGTTGGTGGTTTCAAACATGAATGTTATTTTCCATTTCATATATGGGATGTCATCCCAACCCCATTGACGAACTCCATCATTTTTCAAGATGGGCACAGTGGACGACCAACCAGCTAGTCATGATCATCCTTGAATTCCTGGGATCAAATCCCCAACAGCAAACCTTGGTGAAAGAAGCTGCAAAGATGGGAAAGAAATCAGCCACCTCAAAGAAAGGATTCCAACTGCGTATGGTCAGAACCAACTTTGATTGCTTCAAAACTATGATATGTATATATATACACTATATACAGTGTATATAGAGCTATGTATATATATATATATATATGTACTACACACATAAATGATCATAAATGCACTTTCTGTATGGAACACATTATATGTATATATATATACTACATACATAATAATATCATATATATATACCAACCTAGATAGATAATCAGTGATACTCAAAAGATCCGTAGCTATCCCCATAGCTAGGCAGGCGGAAGCATCGGAGGCTTTGCTGGAAGCCATGCGGCGAGTGGCGAGTTTTGATCATGAACTGGAGCAGCAAAGGAGTTTGATGCAGAGGCCTGGGGGCCTGGGAAAAGTCTAGAAAAGTCAGGGGAAAAATCAAAAGCACCAGGAAATCCACTGGAAATCCATGAAAATCTGGCTCATTTTCTGGCAATCGCTAGAAAGTTGGAGGCAATGGCCCCAAAAAAAGGTGTTTTTGTTCTGGAACTCGGAAGCTCACCGCAAGGCAAAGGCTTATTTTTGTTCAAGGTCAATGGATTTGATATGCTGAAACCACGGCTGTGACCAACAATTTGCCTGTGAACTCATTGGTTACTCCACAGGTGCACTTTTTCCAGCCCGGTTTCATTTTCGACTTCAGGATTTAGCCCAGTCATTTCCTTCAAGATGAGGGAACCCATCGAACTGTGATTGGATGCAGCCATTGGGAGATCAAGTTCTGTTCAGATTCCTCCTGTCGGAATCATGGACTCCGCGACAGAGATGAAACTTTTAGATTTTCTGCGCCAAACTGATGAAGAATGGACAGAAACTCTGAAGTTGGCGAAAGCTGTTGGGAAGACCAGGCAAAGTCACTCGGCCAGTAGCGTTGTGGCCTCGTGTAACGGGTGGTTCTCGGGGTGGTTTTCCAACAGGATTCAGCCATCAAATTGCAAGCCAGACACACAAATTAAGCATCAAACGACAAGTCGATTCTTCCTGGGCTTGTACCCTCTGGTAAACTGTTACATAGCTATTGAAAATGGCCATTAATAGTGGATTTTCCCATTAAAAACGGTGATTTTCCATAGTTACGTTAGTTTACCAGAGGGTATGTCTAATCGCGGATCCTTTGCGACTAAATGTACTTATAAGAAATATGATTAGAATATGTGTGAAGTGATAGCCAGTTGCATCTTCATCCAAACTATCCAGCCGATGATAGTTGAGGTTGCAAATGGCTATGACACAACAACCATGGTTATGACCCAAATAAGTTTGGATATAACCCCTACAATTACGGTTATATATAATTATATATATATATAACTTATATCCACTTATAACTGGACCTGCACTTCGAAGTATAATCTTGATGGTCTTCAGCTTTTTGCATTTCTGCGTAGACCGCCAATTGACAGTATATCAACATATATGTTTTTCGATACTAGACTTGCGTTTAAATTTCGGAGTAGAGCGTTTTGGATGAGGTTTTTACTCCCTGTCTCGGGTAGACTTGGCAACGAATTTGGCAAGGCAAATTCACAAGATATCCATGGAAATCAAGCCATAGATCCACTGTTGACAGTATCAGTTGTGATTATGTTACAGACACACACCACTATATCCCGAGTATATCCCCATTATCAATGGATGTGTTAAAGGCAAAAACTAGAGGGAATGATGTATGTTTTATTTGTACCTCTCAATATAATATAGGTGGTTCCTGCATATTTTCCCTAAAACCAATCCATCTGTATTACCCTCTAGTAAATTAACATAACTATGGACCATCACCATTTTGATGGGTAAATCAATGAACTAAATGGGCAATTTTCAAGAGCAAACTTTTCAATTACCGGAGTGTCACCTTCGAGGTGATGTGAACCCCACGCTGTATAGGCTGGAAAAGCAGGGCCAGGCAGGGAAAAACCTTTGGGAAAGCGAAGCACCATGGGAATATGGACGTATTTGGGTTGAATCATAAAGCATGTGGATTTAAGTATATAGATAGTATTATATATACAACCTTACATTCGAATAGTCGCCTATGTGTACACAGTATAATATATAATATAGTATAATTCAGATTTATTCAGTATAGTATTAATATATAGTCGCGATTCTATGTATAACTGTAATATTATGCTTTAATTCCTTATTCAAATTGGACTGAATCATAAAACATCCGGATTTAAGCATTGATTTTTCAACTGAGGATATTGGTTGATTACCAAAGGGGTGAAATAGCACAATAGAACAATGATGTCAGCCACGGATGAATACGCCCTCATCTATAGAATTGACCACTCCTAATTAAAATATGGAGTGTTTGGGGATGTTTTTTGTTGACATTCTTGGACAGGAATTATGAATCCATCCGGATGTGTGGGGTCGGTCTCCAGTTTTGACACCTATATTGTATGATTCACATATATATATAATATATATATATATATATATGTGCAGTATATGTGAGGAATCGTAATTGCAATGATTGACTCTTTGAATGGACTAATGGACTAAGGATAGATTCCCAGAAGTATTACGACGAGACACTTTCCAGGAACCTCAGTTTGTTCCTGGTAAAAAAAACGCTAAGTGTTTCCTGCAAAAATGTCCTTCGCCTAACTTAAGCCAATAGTGGATTCTATCAGACCGAAGCTGATGGCACATTCTCAGGTTCTTAAGGATCCAAAGTCGACAAAGCCTCGGTGGCAGAGTTGCGGGAAACCACCAGCATCGCCATCATCGCCATCATCGCCAGCGCCACCGGCACCCCCACCGCCACGAGAGGAAGCCACTGACACAATCCTGCCACCTCCAGTGACTGACATCACTGACGTCAATGACGTGGCACCTGCAGCAGTTTCAGCAGGATATTATAATCCGAAAGGAACGCTGCAAGAGAAATTTGGTGAACATGCTGTGGAGTGGAAGCAGCTTGGGACAGGGACTTCATTTCAGTATCCAGACCGATTCTATTTGTGGGACTTCAGACTGGGTACTTGGAGGATCCGACAGAGAAAGTAGCTGGTTAATAATAGTAAGTCCCACAAGTGAGTTATATATCCCTTTTATAAATGGCTTATAACCCGAGTTACAAACCAGTTACCAAATGGGGTGATCCTCAAACATATTTCCGGTAAAATGAACAAAAAATTGGAACGCCTTTTGGGTAGTCAAAGGACGGCATGTCTACTTTCAAAGCACATCGTTGATCACAGGAAACTATATGCTGACCTCGAACATCTGATCATTACATTTTTTTCATATGGTAAGATTTTATACTCATTGATATTTCTTCACAGGGTTCTTTTTCAGAATTTCAGTTACGTTTTCATGGATTTTCATGGATGGGGATGGGTCAAAACCTTGTACCCCTGGTGAACCTCAAAATAGCTGGTAAATGGATGTTCATCACCCTAAAAATGGTACTTATAGGTATTGATCCATAGCCGGATAAAAAATGCAAACATCAGGATAAACATCACCAGCCTCGCCCAGGTACGAAGTCGTAGTGGCCTCCATGACGATTCTGGGTCCCGTGCGGGGCACCAAAGCTGCCGCGCAGAGAGCCCTGGAGGCCCTGGCTGAGCGCCCCGAGCTGGTGCCACAGGACGGACCTGGGGCGAAAATGGGCGAAGTGGTGGAAAATGCTGGGAAAAAATAGGGAAAAATGCTTGGAGATCCCCCAAACTTCATGATTTTCATGGAATAATGATGGAACATGGTGATTTATAATCCAAAAAAAATGGGTTTTGGATGGTTTTGGGGCCTATTTTCAGACACACCAATATCATGGGATAATTATAGTTGGAATGCCAGCAGGTTTTTAAACAATGTTTGAATGTTCATGTGTTTTTTTTGATGGATTTGGTTGATTTGATGAATCGATGGTCGGAGAATGCTGGCAAATTTAGATAGTTGGTGAATGGTGGGTTTCCAAAGAATTTGGCCGATTCAGTGCTATTTCAACCCATCCCAAAAGCAAACATGACTAGCAACTGGTCAGGATCCAAGCCCAAATATCAGTGGCACTGGCACTGAACCACTTGCTTTAGCTAAGCCAAGGTTGTTTGTTTGTTTTTTTTCAAATGGTTTCGATCCACTGAATATCAGTTGGCGAAATGCCTCAACATGGAACACACATGTCTTGATTTGTGGTTTTGTTTACGGGCACGATTTGAAACCCTGAGGCGTGCAGGGTGTGATGGAAAACAGCAGGGTGGTGAAGGGAAAGAGGATGGATGAGTTTTGAGCTATAAACGGGGCAATGACCCATTTTGCTGGATACATGTCCAAGTTTGCTGGTTACATATCTACTTCGATTGTATCTTCAATCCTCAAGAAACAGCAACCTAGTTGATTACATACATATATATATATATATACATACTCCTTGTTGTTGAGGGACCTACCACCTCCGTTCTCGCTGTTCAACTGCCCATTTGCTGCCGTTGCTTTGTATCCCTTATGATTTCCCTTTCAGTTAAAGATTATAGATTATATATATATATGCCACAACATTACAATTACGCGTTGAATTCCAGAACTAAAACAGACTGGGGATGATTCCATGATTCTCGGTGGGCCAGTAAGTTTGCTATAATTTGCTCCCATCAAAAATGCCCGTTGCTAGCCCATGTTTGAATCCCACAGGAAGCACCAAGTGATACTGATTTCAAGAGCAAGTTGGAGGTTTTCTCCGCAAATAAGATCAGCTGCAAGTATGACACCAAGAAACTTGGATTTGCTGAAGATCAATGGAAATTTCAGGATCCTAAAATGGAGCTACTTTTTCGTACCATATGTTTGGCTATATATTTTGTAGCTACCTCCAATTGAGAAGTGATTTTTTTGGACCTCTTTTCCCATCGGGAATCGGGGCCGACTTTCGCGCCCTAAGGAAATGCCATGCTGGTGGCTTTGAGTCGACGGTCGCTTGGTGATCGGTTCATCGCTTCATCGGTTCATCGCAAAAAATCATCCCATGGAGAAAAGAATGCCTTCGTCAATTTGGGGTTTTTCAAGTGGAATCATGGCCCCATTTTACTACAGGATGGGGCCCCCCAGTGATGTTTGTTGGTTTATAAACCATTATAATCCCCAGTAACTATAGTTATATCTACCATAAACCATTGTTAAGCCACTTATAAACCAACTTAGCTATCTTGGGGGCCCCATCCTGTACCTTCTGGTAATGACACAGCTATTGAACATGACCATAGAAATAGTGGATTTGCCCATTGAAAATGGTGATTTTCCATAGTTATGTTAGTTTACCAGAGGGTAACCAGAGGTTTCTAACTGGGACTTCCAAGCTTAGAAACCATTGATACTGAATTATCACAGTGGTGAAACTAAGCCCAGTTACTCATGAAATCTAATGAATTACTGAGGTGATCCTCCAGGTAGGGTTAGAGAGGGTAGACACATGGAGCTTCTACCTACAACGGAGTTGCCATTCTTTGGGAAATGTCACCATGTCAAAGAAATGGTCCCGTAGATCTGGGATAAACCAACCACCAGCTCCAACACGATCTTGTTTCAAAATTGTTTGTCAATGCCTCTAGTCCATACATATTACATACATAAACAATAATATACATATTACAACCCCAGAATTATGCATTGTAAAACCCTGCATAACTATAACCCCAGAAATCTGTACAGTACAGTGTACAGTAGAGTATATAGCTACATACAAGAGTCATACATAAATGTGTATATATACCCATAGGATCCATGTATGCTATATATGGTAACATTTACCATCAATCTACCCCCAATGTTAGCATATATACCATACATGGATCCTATGGGATATATAAACCAGGAAACTACTATCCATAGCTAAGTACATCTGAGACCGCCGCAGGTTTCCGCCACTGGCGCGGCCGCATCGAGCACCGCCGCCGTGGCCGTGTTGGCCGTGTCGGCCACGGGACGTGGGCGACGGAAGATCGACGCGGAGCACTTCGCGGCCAGGGCGCTGTTGGAGAAGCTACGCGAAATCCCAGAGGTGGAAAAGAACAGTGGGGACCAAAGAAATTGACTACCAACAAAAACATGGGGAAAAACAAAAAAAGTTGGAATTCACCAAGCAAAATTGAGTTTTCAACAAAACCAAGAATGTCAGTAGAAAAAGGAGGATGTAACAAAGACAGACAAACCAACCAACAGATGTTGATTATAGGCAATTTTGCACCCACAAAAACTCAGATTCACCCAACAGGGGGTTTTTCACCCTTACCAGTATCAAAGATATCAAACCCAGACAAAAGACAAAACGGGTTTCATCAATAGAAATGGATACAGGATGGTGCCCCCCAGTTATAAGTTGGTTTATAAACCCCATTAACTATAGTTATATCTGCCATAAACCATAGTTATGGGAGTTATAAACAAACTTAGCTAACTATGGGGCACCACCTTGTAGAATCTAGATGATTCAACCATGAGGGTCATGAAAAAAACAAAGAAACAGTCGACCGTCACATAGTAATCCTCCGGTGTTCAAAAAACATGCCCGGCTGACGGATCCGGCTGGTGCTGGTATATTTCTATATGCTAACATCAATGTCAAGGGGGTTTTTGTTGATGGGAACCATGGCACAGCTTTTTTTTTTTCGCAGCACCGGCACCATGGATCCGCCAGGTGAAGCCCATCGCCTCCATGGCCGCACCGGACGCCTCGCCAAGGGACGAGCTTTCCCGGAAGGATCGCGAAGGACGGAGCGGCGCGGAAGCCAACTGAGCTGCAGGGAACTGGTTGAACTGGGGAAATTGGGATATAAGTTGGTTTATAAGCCCCAGGAACATCCAGGAACTATAGTTATAAATACCATACTGTAAACCATAGTTATTGGAGTTATAAACCAACTTAGCTATTTTGGGGGCCCCACATTGTAGGTCATAAATCGGCGATGGAGCATTGATTAAAGGGATTTATAAGGTCGATTGGAGATGTTTTTATGATATTCGTAGACAATGTTTTAAACATGTTTAAACTGTTAATCAATGGGAGGAAATCCACCATGTTGGGGGAATTGATACTTGGCTTCCAAAGTAATAGTAACAATCACTTCGTCAAAAACGATTCATGTGCCATTTGACGGTAGCATGATTGGTACATGATGTTACACTTATGGTATAAATCGAGGTGACTGAAGTTCGTCAAAGAGGAAAACATGTTTGATTGCCAACGTATTCGATGGTCAGGTTCCCTGTTTTTGACCGGACACACATAGTTGGATACCTAAGAGATCCTAAGACTCAAGAGGATTCTTTTGTAGCATCTCATTCAAAGATGTATATTTTGTATATGGAAGATGTATGATGTGTCTTTCTGGATTTATGATATACACACAATGCATATTACATATGATATATTAATGTATATTATATATATATATATATTATAATTATATATTTGTGTATGGAACATGGCATATATATATATATATATATGTAGATATACATATTCCAACATATTCCAACACATAAAACATACAACCTAAGCTATCAACACATATAGATAAATGTTGATATTACATCCATTACATGTACAATATATAGAGAATGTATATCGTCATTATCGATAAATCTTCACTATTATAGGTGCCCGCGTCTTCCCAGGTTGCAGAAGAAGTATTAAAGCTGCAAACCGAAGCGTTTCAAGAACAGGCGAAGGCCTGCCTGTGCTGCCAGAAAAAAAAACACTCAGCATGTTTTGTAACAAGAATACTGCCTAAACCAACCATAATGTGGACTATAATCGATTATATGATATATACATATTATAATATATATATATATGTACGTATGTATGAATATATGTATATGTATGTGCATGTGTATATATATATATATATGCGTACATTCAACGATGTGATGTTTGCGTTTGTGTCAAACCGGGTGAATACAGTATTACTGTATTTACAGCCTTTGCTAATTGGGGGACATGATGATCAACCTCAGGATTTTGAAGAGGGTTCTAACATGTCAGGCTGACATGCACCCTGTGGGTGTGTTCATTCGCATCACGAGTATTATTCGAGTATTCATCATGGTCGCTCCTGGGAGGAACATGAAAAGTTGAAGGAACTGTTGAGACCTCTCAACCTCGACAACTTTGCAAAGATTCGTGTCTGGTTGGCGGTTTGTTCTTGATACGCTTTGTTTTTTGTTGATTGCACAAAAACTGGCTTATAACCGCAATTTAACAAGTTGATGTTTCTATATCATAATGTGATTTTGGTTTCTGCTGCTTTTGTTGATATCAAAATTAATGGTCCTAGTTGACTTATTTTGCATTGTCCTTGCTCCTTGGATGGAATAGCAAAATACTTTTGTTTATTGGTTGGTTTTTGTTGCTATTGTTGTAATCCCCCATGTTTTTTTAAACCTGAAAATGCCTGGAAGCCTGTAATAACTCTGTGGCAATCGCTATGAACCACTCCTATGAACCACTATGTGGGATACTCCTAGGTATGGGGACTTGTTACTTGTTCTTACGCAGTAAACGCGTTTTTCTGTCTTTTTCCCAGCTTTGAAACAGCAACCAGGTTTGAATATGGCCCCGTGTATCTCAGAGGCTTTTCGTTTGAAGCTGATCGATGATGCAGAGAAGAAACGATTGCAGGTCCGCATCGATCTTGGGAGCTTTCGCAGTGCCCTGTGGTCCTGTGGTAGTCAAATTTGGCAACTGCAAATCACATGTTCAATATCATTCAATTGGCAAAATACCATCAATTATCATACATGACCATGAATATATCCATGAATTGCCATGACGCAATGACTTGCCTTGGATATTATCATCTAGCTTACAGGGTACCTCAGAATTCAACCATTCGACCGATCTCGGCACGGTTCACCCAATGGGCTGCCGCCGACCCCTGGGAAAGTTGATAAAGTTTCAAGCCCAGCGGGCACTTAGGCAACAAGCAGGCCAGGAACGTGGCAAAAGCAGCTGTGGCCGATGGTGGACGCTGAACTGGCACCAACAGGTCGCGGAAAGCGGCAAGCGGCAATGCCGGAACGGCACTTTTTCTCTGACGCGCTCCCCCTGCTCTCGCTGGGGCCGGCGGACAATCCCCACAAGATACCGAAAAGTGTGACTCCAGGATGTTACGGATGGCATTTAATTACACCATGTTTCGAGGCTTTCAACTTTTCTCTGTCCATTTCGGGGTTGCTGTAATGGATTATTCGACTTAAATAAAGATATTATTATGATATTGACCTGCAAAGCCCTCACAAGAATGGCTGAACACCTGTGCTATTTCGATGGGGACAATCTTTTATAATCAAGAGAAAATCGATGATTGGGCACAGAAAACACCAACGTAGTTCCATTTTCTTATGGTTACATCACGGGTCCGGTATTTTTAGTTCATTAAGACATTCAAAAACCCAGGGATGCATGTTTTTGCTTGTTGAGTTGTTGAGCAGTGAGTTTCAGAGTACCAGAGGGGCTCCTGATGGCTCCTGCAGGAGATCAATGGCCGGGGCAATTGCGCCAAGCATACTCCAGAGAACCTGGTTGTTTCATGTTCGCTATTTTTTCTTGGTCATTTTTCAGAGTTGCTCCAAGCCGTAATAGATAAATATAGATAAATAATACCGCAATGCCACAAGAAGGTAAATTAAGCTCATTTTGCCCAATTTACCCCAAACATACCTGGGGTGAGACAGGAGCAAACCGGTTGATAGTGATCTTAGCTGACTAGCAGTTCGATGATGGGAAATGCAAGGGGTAACCATTGAAAAATGGCCTTAAATATGGGAAATATATGAGGATATCCAGTTTTTTTGATTCACCATGATTCACCAGATTTCTCACAGTACTTGCTCCAAGCAAGGTGTGAATTTCCAGTTGGAAATATAGTCATACTTGATTGATGGTTGCCGTTGGTGCATTCAATAGGAGTAGCTCATAACAGTAGCTGTTCTAACTGGAATATTTTTAAATTTGTACAACCAGTTACCGCAGTTATAACAGTTCAAACAGTTAGACAAATTATGAAAATTGCGGAACAGTTGGATATGTAAAAAACAGTAAGGTGATAAGCTCAAACAACTACAAATTTCTTTGTGTTTTCGAATCGGTCGATGGTCTGAAACCACGAACCAACCAAGGATTGGTGAATGATAGTGATCAATGATTGTGGTATGTAGGTTCACGGATAATGTTTGATTGCCATGTAGATTTGTTTATCCATTAATATACGATATATATATATATATAATTATATATATATATCATATATATATATGTATATATATCATATATATATATACACATAATATATCATATATATATCATATATATCATATATATCCTTTATCCTACCAAGAAATCAGTTCAAAAAATATCATACTTCATCACAATTATCCCTCTATACAAAACAAGGCACCCTTTAGGGTCCTCGTTGAACCAAGGAGGTTGCGGCCCAAAGCTGAGAATGGCCAAACTGTGACGTCACGTCCGGAGGATTCGGATGAATCATGGTAGACCTTCTGAGCCTGGACAATGTGAAAGCCTTTAGGTTTCAGATGTTGGTAAAGCAATATGATACACCATCCCCAAAATCACCATCTACATGGGTGCCAGAAACCATCTATGGGTGCTTTATCATTGCTGCCAAGTAACATTGGATATGTGTTTCCAAAGTTTTTGCTGGTTTTTGTCGTCTGGAAGTTCGAACGCCCTAAAACATACTGATTTCTTTCAAACAACATACCTACTCCAGTCTATGCTCACATGATTTTTGATGTCCGTCAACTAAATATATACTGTAGATGGTGTGTGCTTGTAAGTTTTGATTTGTCAAGTTTACAGCGAAGAAATGGAGACCAAATTGTTGTTGTCCCATCATCCAGGTGCAACTTGAAGCATTCGCTAAGCCGCTAAGCGACTCTGAGGAAAATTCGCAGAGTGAACACTGATCCTGACCACCCAAAAAGCATGGTATTCTATGAGGATTTGCTGTCTCACTTAAGTTCCTCTGGGGAAAACAACCCATGAAGCCACAGGATTCAGAGACGTGACTTTTTTTAAATTTGGGCCATGCCCATGGATGGATTTCTCATGATTTCTCTAGTTTTCTCACAGTACAACACGTGAATCCACAGTGCAAAAGACCGGCTTCAATCCATATTGTTACCAAGCTTGTGTCTGTGTGTGGCGTAATTTCAAGCATTGCCGGCTACTATAGAGTTTTGTTACCAGGCAATGCTCAACATGTCATTCCAAGATGCCATCCACAGGTAAGCAGAATTGTGTATTGTATTACGAAAACATGAAGATAATGGTCATTACAGTAGCATAATCGTCGTTGTTCTTAGTTGTTGCTCAAACCATGTCATACTCTCATTATGCTTGCACAATCTGTAGGTGAAATTCAATAGATTTTCAGTAAATCAAGTGAAGTGAAGAGATCAATCACGGGTCAACATTACTGCTGCTAAACACTCCGATGTGTTGTCAATCCATGCCAATCTTCCCATTCGTCGAGAATGTATCATATATAATCATACACTATACCCAACAACATGATACAACATGAACATTGGGTTTGTATGGGTTTGTAGGGTTTTGGAACATTGTTGGAACATTGTTGCTCAACATATCTGTGTTTTTTTCCGCCTTTCATTGCTTTGCATGTTTTCCATTTCTTCATATACCCGATGATTGCTTCACATAAATCACATTCTGCATTCTCCATTTGCTTCATAGTTCTGGAAGACTTACAGCATTTACCACGAAAAATCACCCGGTCAGCTAGGTAAAGATCCACCGTGCAGTTGTTGTTTATTATTATTATTATCTTGTCTTGGTCTTTGTTACTGTTATCTTTGATTTCCCCATTTCCCCAGACCATAATAAGCACATTTGGAGGGACTGTATCCCCCAAATTCAAACACACCATATCCATCAATATCCCCACTTATACATGGGATTATATGGGTAACGGTTATATATAAAATATATATTATATAATTATATACAATATGGTATTAGGTTGTATGAATGGATTCGCTATATAAACCCCTTCCCAAGTACCAGCCCAAATCACAGCCATCGTCGTAGAAAAAACATCCCCCAGTTTTTGATCTCCAGAAGGTGATTTCTCGAGTGAGCGGGCCCATGTTGACCTACTCAAGGTAGATATCTCTACGATTCAAACATCTACCCTCTGGTAAACTGTTACATAGCTATTGAAAAATGCCTCATTTATAGTTGATTTACCTATTATAGTGGTGAGTTTCCATAGTTATGTTTGTTTACCAGAGGGTAAAACATCTATAAACCATACTTAAAGTACCGTATAAAGTCACAACGTTCGTTACGTTACCTGCTTAAAACCAGTTCTACCTTTATAGAAAGGCCATTTTTTGCCAGGCGTCGCAAAGCCGCGCTGGAGCCTTCCAACTCCGTCACCGCGGAGGATGCGATACTCACGGCGCTTCTCGAAGAACAACGGCAAGCTGCGGCGCAATGTGAAGAGCCACGGCCTGGGAATTTTCGATGGCGATCCATCAATCTGGGTAAATTATAACGACCTCACTGCGACCTCACTATAACCATAGTTACTAAGGGGAATCATCCCCTTTTATGGCCGCAAGATTCAGGTTAGTGAAATATTATAATTTACCCAGATCAATATCCCACTACATGGGATTATATTATATTAAACAAAACAACTGATCATGGATGGTTATCCCCACTAATATCCCCTCTATAGATGTTTTGGGTTTTTCTATGAAATTGTATTCATGGATTAGATCCCCATCTGGCACCATGATGGTCCCGGCTAGGCCACAGTCATGCGGTGACACTTTGCAAACGGGGTTTTCCCAAGTTGTTTTAATTCTACTGGCGATCTCATCAAGACATCCATATTTCATCAAAGACTCCCACGTAAATATGAAACATCCCATACAAGATCACAATTTTCATAGCAACCAACCGCCTCGCCACTCCCTTCATCATCCTTCGTCATTTTCCACCTTTTCAACAACATCACTCACTCCCCCAACTTCCACTGTAGCCATGTTTAAGGAGTTTCACATAGTTTCATAGCATGTTTTGCATTCAGCCCTGTTATGTAAGATCAAATTGACATTTTTAGAAGTCGTCAACAAGATCACATGTATGACAAGACCTTATAAGCATATTGCCAACCCCGGATTCATAACCCCATCCCTAGAAGGTCAACACGGTCAAGAAGGTTTTGATTGTCGTTTTTTGGGGACCGCCCCTGAATAATCGGCCCCAAAGCTTTTAGAGACCATGCGCAATGAAATCCATGAAAATCCCTGTATTGAATTCAACACCTTAAAGGCAAAAAGGGCCCTGAGTTTAGGCACAACTGGAGGCTGTTTGGGGGCAACATCTAATCGTAGAAACAGTAAACAACAACAGCACCAACAGCGGTAGCAAAAGCAGATCCAGAACGATGCAGCAAACAGGAAAAACATGGAAACAGCATATTGCTTTGTGCGATTAAAAATGCAATGAACATATCCTTTGGAAACACCCAATGGTGAACAATATGCACGTTGAAACGAAAGTAAATCAAGTTGCGGAATGCCTTGAGCAATCTCTGGGCGTACATTGAAGGAAACGATGCATAAATATGGGAAGCACGTCTTTGTTGGTTTTTGTTAGCATCATTTTGTTCCTCTCATTGTTCGACCGACTTGAGAATATGCACCAACGGCGGCATAGAATTGGATGTTTTGCAGCGGATTCATGCGGAGGAAGTTTCTCCGAGATGTTCTTTTTTTGGGGAACTCGCAATAGGAAAAGGGACCTGTTTCAACCAGAATTGAAAGATGTATCGTTGCAAAGCAGTCTTCAACACTAAACGTTGCAAAGCAGTCTTCAACACTAGATTTTTGGCACTGGCTTAGTCAATCCATCCACTAATAATAATAACATATAATAATAATAATAACTAATAATAATAATACTAATAATAATAATTCTAGCAATTTCTTGCCCATATTCCAGGGCCGAACATATTCCATGCCAAAATAGCTGGGAAATTTCAGGGAATTGCGAAGACCCCTTTCAGGTGAAATTTGTATTTCATACAGTTTGCCAAGTACTCCTTTTCTTCTGGCACGTACGTTGTCGACTGCACATGTTCTTCCGCAAAGAAGATCCTTACTTTCAACAATTTCTGGAAATGTCATAATTAGTAATGTTGAGCTTTCCAAAAATGGATTAATAATGTTCTTATGGGAATTTGTCATCTACACTTTTCAGGATCTCAAAACCCAATTCATAAGCTTTAAGCTTATGTTCTGGCACGCTTGGCTGGCCTTTCACCAGCAGCGCCATCCCCATCTTTCTTGACATCTTTGTGGCCCCGCAAAGAGCCCTGCACAATAGGATCTCGGAACACAAATCATCGACGATCCTGTTTTCTTCCGTGCAAACTAATTCCACCGATAGAGTACGATGCCACCCCTGGAGTGCGCTAATTTTCTGGAATGCGAAAATAAAACAGTATGCGTGGCCCCCTTCGACCTTCCCCATGGATCCAACACCAGTTTTTTCCATCATATACCAGAAAATTATCACATTTCACCCTGCTGAGGTTTTTTTTTCTTTTTTTTTTTGGGTCATTTTTGGCCAAAATGGCCTGGAATGCGATAGTATGTGAAACTACAGATGTCTCACGCGAAACCGCTACCTTGCCCATATTCCAGAAAACGTGATTCCAGGCGATTTTAGCCAAAAAAAAAAACGAAAAAAAAAAACGCAAAAAACAAAAAATCACCGAGTACGAAGATTTTATGGAGTGCGAAGATCTTGCAGAGTGCGTGGATTTTATAGTATGTGCACGTCCCTAGCTGTGGAGTGCGATGCCCTCGCTGGAGTGCGAAGAATTTGTGGAATGCGAAGAATTCCGAGTATGCGTGGCTGGTACTATAGAGACCACATAGGGAAATTTCGGGGCCAGAACCAAAATTCCAATCCCAAAGCCAGTCCAAACTTCCAGGGGCACACCAGTGGGTTCTATTTTTCCGAGTTCACCTTGGGTGAGGCCCCGGGGAAGAAACTTTCTAATTTCTACTCAGCCAACCTTTAAAAACGTTACCCTTGACAACCCTGTCCTTCTTCGGTAGACAAATGAAGAAACTTCCTTATCAAAGCAGCCTTCAATTCATTCAACGTCCACAGCTGCTTTGGAACGACATAGGGGATAGAAAGCTGTGGAGGGGCATTCAGTGGATTCGCCGTGGCCCAACTGTTCCCTCCAGATTGAGCTGAAATGCCTATCAAAGTAACATACCAAAACCCAGGTCTGGAGTACGATGAAAACATGGTATGCGAAGATTTTCTGAATATGGGAATGTTGCCTCTAGAATAATATATAATTTATTTATTAATAATAATAGTAATACTATAATAATATATTATTATTATATATATATAACATTTATATATACCTAAATATATTTACCCCTCATCCTGTTTTGAAAAGGGCGACTGTCCCAATTCCAAAGTCCACTTAGGAGATGGCGCAAAACGACGAGGTCGGGATTCGGTTATGACCCCTTGAAGTTCGATGGAAAAACCCATGGATATTTATGGGCATTGTTTTTTTAATTGAGCAGTGTGGTTGATGATTATAGTTCTGATTAGTTCATAAATGTGTTCTTAGATTTCTTAGATTAGTCACTGTTTTTCATATTTTTATCTTGGGGATTCTCGGATTATGTCATAATCCACCAGGATTAAATGGATTAACCAACCAAGATTAGAACCAGGATTAAATGGAATAGAACCAAGATTGGGGATTAACCAGGATTAGAGGCGTTCTTCACCAACCAGGAGTCAGCATGGAATAGCGGATGACATAATCCCCTTCTTGGGACGGTGTCCTCATATTCTCCGACCAAGACACCAGTTGCGACGACTGGAAGGTGGGGGTCTTGGCGGCCCCCAGTGATGTTTGTTGGTGAAGAAAACACCACTACAGTGGCTAGTTGACCTAGTTGACTTGAATATAGTTCAATATAGTTCAATATACCTACCATAAACCCATTTGTGAAATGTTATAACATCAACTTTGATAAGTACTTGTGACTTGTGGGTGCAGTTCCAGTTTGTAGATATATGACCATGGTCGTAGGGCTATGTATATTACATATATATATGTGTATATGTATATATAGTATATCATTTTATATCCCAACTTATGCAGTTATGGCCCTTAACAGTTATAAATGGCATTATCATATATATATATAACCAACTAGAAAAAAAAACGGACTTCTTTCATCCTTTCATCCCGTTTAAGGACCAACATCCATGGTTCAAAAATGCATTTGCTGCAGCACCAGGCCTGGGAGGACTTGCATCAGCTGTGGCGCGGCCCGTTGACTTCATCTCTCCTGGACCTGGCCGCGGATGCGACGGCAAAAACCAAGGCCGGAAAAATTAAGCAATTGGTTAATGAAACATATCTATACATGGTTTATTAACATATTTATACATGGTTCAATAAATATTTATACATGGTCCATTAAAGTAATGAACGTCAATGAACCATGTATATAGTATGTACTGTATATAGTATGTATATAGTATGTATATAATATGTATATAATATGTATATAATAAATATGTATACAATATGTCAATAAAACTGTTTATGGATGTCAGGTAAATGGTAACCATAAATAATTGGAGGTTTCCTATATAAGTCATAGGGGGACCCCCAGTCATCATCCATTTTTAATAGGGGCTTCTCCGTTTTTAATAAAGCGTCCAGCGAGCTTGGGGTAGCTGGAAATCTCCAGAAGTTGAGAAGATGTTCCCTGATGTTCCTATTGGGACGATAATAGATGGTTTAAAAACAGTTTTTCACCATGATTTTCCGTTGTAACTTTCGATTATCTGATGGTAGGGTCATGTTTTGCCTATGGCAATCCTACAGGAAAAGCATTCTTAAAGCGCGGGGTTGAAGTGCCAGATGGTACCCTCTGGTAAACTAACATAACCATGGAAAATCACCATTTTTAATGGGTAAATCCACTATAAATGGTCATGTTCAATGGCTATGTTAGTCTACCAGAGGGTATCTACGACGACATCCCATAGGTGATCCACAGATTCACTGCCCAAGGTTCTGCTACATGGTTTGAGCAACAAATCGTTATCTAAGGTCCTATATCAAATTCTCCGTGCTTCAGCAAATGTTGCGCAAGTGTGTTGCTTCATACGCTTTAGAGATATACTGCCTTTAAAACATCTTAAAAACATCTTTGAAACATCTGTAAACTACTTTGCCACTCACTAGATTTTTGTTGAGTCATGAAACATCTTCTTTATACAGCCGGTCAGAGCCGGGTGAACAAATTTCGTCAAGATCCGACAAGTCAATCAGGTCCAGAGAGGCACCATTAGTGCAGCAGAGAAGAACCAAGCGCTTGCCGAAGCCCAGCGACGTGTTCTGGCAATGATGCACCGGTTTGTGCGATTTCAGTTCTTAGTCTAACAATTATTTCAATATATATAATGTGTATATATATATTGTTATATTATAGGTATACTATAACATCCAGTCATATATATATATATACATATACATATTCGGCAAATGACTGGGCTTCGCCTAGAGCAGCATTTGAATGTAAAGTTTAATGCTGTTCCCAATTGAATGTAGAGTTTAACCATACTGTATAATGTATATTATCCATTAATTATCACTATTTATATACAATTAATTATCCACATTAAAATTATTGGATAGTATACATTAATTATTCAATAATATTACCAATATTATATATATTATCCATGAATTTGGCTGTTGGATATGCTAAACCAGTGTAGACACTCTCACCGTTCAGCCGCCCCAGGCCTTGAACGGTTGGATGAGGAGAGTCAGCGACAACGGCTAGGCCTGAAACGTCGCCAGAAAGTCGCAGAGGCGAGGACCAAGGAGTGGTGTATGGGAAAATCACCATAAATGGATGTTTTAATGGGAAAACCTGAGGAAACCATAGGAAAAGACATGGGAAAATGGTGATTTCACCAGCAAACATGGGGATTTAATTGGATTTATGGTTGATGTGTGATAGCTAAGTGGGTGAACATAACTTTAATATCACTATGGTTTATGGTACTTATAACTTACACATATCCTATTCATAGGGTTTATATATTTTAGGAAACATCATCGGGGGCCCGACATTGCTGGAAGCTGTCTGAGTTGGTGTTTGTTGCTTTATAACCCCCCTCAAGTATGTGTGTATATATATATATATTATACATATATATATATATTATACATATATATATATTATACATATATATATATACATATGACATATGTATACATAGTATATTATGAATGCCATAAACCATAGTGACATGTTGGTTATAAAGAAACTTCATCAACTGGGCAGCAACGGTTGCAGAAGTGGTGCTGATCGATCTGGGCGGTGCGGTGGATTTCTTTCATGAGAATCCCAATATGTTTGATACAATGTGAGGCCCCCGTTGGATAGCTAAGTTGGTTCAAAAAACTCCAATAACTATGGTTTATGGTATTTATAACTATAGTTCCTGGGGCGAATCTAAACCAACTTATATCTTGGGGGCCTCACATTGTAGAATATTCCGATGGATAATCCCATAAGATTTTTTCCAACAACTCACTGCAGGCAGGCCGCCGAGAGCTTGAGAAGTTGGTGGAGAGTGGCACAGAATTTGAGCACCTGGCGGCCGAGCATCGCGAAGGATGCCGCAAATGGAGGGAAGATGCAGAAAATCCTGGGATTTTTGTTGGAAAATGTGGTCCTTTGAGATTTTTGAGCGGCTTTTGGTTTGGGATTTGGGTAATTCATCAATATGTTTGTTGGTTTGAATAACAAAACGTGGGAGTTGATGTGACAGAAATAAACATTTGAGCAGCACATGTGTTTGTTGTCCACAGAGAAACATGGCGTAGTGTTTTCAGCATGTTGCAGAGTTGGAATTTGTCAAGAAACATGGAAATTCAACCAGCAAAACAAATTTGTCAATAAAACCAGTTGGATACTGACTGGTTTGTTTGTTCGATTTGTCCATGTCGAAGAGCGGTATATAATTCGGGCGGGTTCACTGCTTCAAATTGCAATGGAATTTGAACATCTTCAAATTTCAATGGGTAAGGTATTTGTAACTGGTCGGTTTTCCATCGCAGCGTTTGAGTACAAGAGGGTAGTTTCGGGGAACCCTTGGCATTTTCGTGACCTTAAGAAACATGTAGTTGAACATGCGAAGGGTCTAGTTTCAGCAACAGGCAATGTAATTCAGTTGGCAGCATCTATTCCTATGTCCATTCTCAGAGACTTCAGAATTTAATTTAGTCTCATTGTTCCGGAAGCGCTGTTTGTGACACAGGATCTGCGATGTTTTCCGTCGATTGGAGGGGTTTTCCCTATTTCCAGCATGTGGTTGGTTCCAAAGACCTTCATGATCCTTCATGCAGAAAATTGCTTGTTGGCTACTGTCCCTTGGGCCAACCACAGCTTCTCAATTTTCATATTTGCCATTTGGCACACTGAAGGATAGGAACCATGGCTAATTCTACCAGAAGATCCTGGTTGCTCGGGTTGGGACGCCTGGGAGAGGATTGAACCATCAGCAGAATAACATCAAGGAGGCGCTTGGGCATGTGGGTGCATACACACTCATAGTTTCCACCAAGAGACTGCCCTTGCTGGATCTTTGAAGTACTTTCCAGGGCAAAAAGCCGTTTTGCCCTGAGTTTTCTCATTTGTCAAATTTGTTTTGCAGACTTTCCATGGATTCTGTCCAGATCTTCCCCAGATTGTCTCCGTCTCAGGTCATGGCCTCAGATGTGGAGCCCTTGGAAGAGATCGAGACTTGGCGACAAATGGTGGGCCTTGAGGAGCTGCAGGCGGATGGCAACTGCATCGGAATGAGTCGGTGAATGGAATGGGCTGGGGGGTTCTATAGATATTCACCATATAAGATATGGATCTTAGGCCAAACGCACTTCTATGATTGGGGTTCTATGGTGAATCTAAGTATTTTTCACACTTTATGGATTTCAGGCCGAACTTTTCAGGTTGATGAATTGTGAATGAGGATGGTCCAGAGGGTTGTTATCAGAAATGGATGATATAACATGATATAACTTGATAATAGCGTGGTTTAGTATGATAATTCCCTTTCATTTTGGGCTACTATTGGGGAAATTCATGTAGGGCAATGGATTTTTTTCAGGTGGTAGTAGGCCAATTTCTCCTACACCAAAAAATGACTTTCCCATGAGGATGGTCCATGATTGGTTTACCTTGATATACCATCTGGTTATTTAACAGTTAGCCATGGAAAATCACCATGCTATTAATAGGTAAACCATCTATTTCTATGGGCCATGGCTTCCATGGCTATGTTAGTCATAACAGAGGGTAATTTGATTCAACTTGCTATAATGACTAAGACACTTAAATGGCTATCGCATATCATACATATCGCAAAATATTGCTTAAAATCAGATTTAAGTTTTACACACAGAACATGTCAACAAATCTGCTGGCGCAACGGCCATTGTTCAGCTCTATGATTCCGTGATGCTTCATCCAACGTATCCCAACACACAGTGCTCTGTGCTGGTCCGGAGCAGTTGAGTTGAACAAACCCCCAAAAGGGCGGAAAAAAAAAACCGGTGAAACATACTGAAACAGTGAAGAAAAAAGAAATGAAAAGCAACTACAAAGTGTGGCCCCCGAAGGATAGCCAAGTTGTTGAAGATGACTCCAATAACTATGGTTTACGGCTTACAACTAACTTATAATGGGGGGCCCACATTGTAACATGTGCGTAATTTACGTAAAACGAGGTGTAAAAAAAACGCCTCTCGAGGATGCAGGTAAGTTCTTCCCATTTTCGCTGCTAAATAGTCCAAATACATCCCATCCCTAGAAACTTCCAGTCTATGGTCCCGAGTATGTGTAAATCCCCTACCAATAGGATCCATGGTGCTGCTATATATATGGTAACATGGATCCCATCAATATACCCCAAATGTTAGCATATATACCATACATGGATCCTATGGGCTATTAAGCTATGATTTCTGGGGTTTAAGGGCTGAACGGATGGGATTCCATCCCACAAAGAGTGTTCGAAACCCTTCAGATCCTTCAGTGGCCGCTAGGCGGCTGCGGGCAAGATGTCCGAACAGCTGGCAACCATAGAGGAGGCCGGGGTGATACGGGATTCTTCTGGGGATAAGAACTGATGAAAAATGCCCCTCCCGTAATCAAACATAGCAAGCTGGAAAATTTCAGAACGACATGTTGGTTTATAGCTGGGAAAATCAAATATACATGGTAGATTTTCCAGCCATCATTGTTGAGAGGAGGGCAACTTTTAATTCTGACCCGACGTGACTGCAGTCATTATTGCTATGGTTCCCATAAGGTTCCCCTTCTGTCGGAAAATTACATTCATGTTCCCCCACCATCCTGTTGTCCGCCTTATGATGGGGTCAGTGTGCGGGCACTAGAACTGTCAGCAAATTCATACCGCCGATATACATGGATATACCTATGATATATAATCAATAGCTGTTTCATACACTTACTTATTTATCATCTAACAATACCAGTGTATGTATAGATACACATTGTATGGGGGCTCTTATACAATTGTTGCTACGTGTGTATGAATATATATATATATATAAGTTTAAAACTCTACATACATAGATGGGTTTGGGCAATATGCATGATACATATGCCCATATTTGAAATGCAATATTAATGGTGTTTTAAATGGCATAAATACTGTAGAATTTCCCTGCTATGAAGTACTACTAGAGTACAGTACTTGTATAGTACTTCACGAGCCTACCAGCTATGCCATCAAGTCAATTTTCTTCTCTATGGAGAGGGACATTCCTCATAAGGACACTCCTGGAACATTATTTTTATTAGTTTTAATTCGAAATATGTCAATTTCATTCCAAATAATGCAATTTCATTCCAAATAGTCATTTTTCATTCCAAAAAATATTTTTTTCTTGCATGTTCTTTTAAGGTTCTTTTCAAATGATGATTTTAAGATTTGTTGTTATTTTTTCTTGAAAAAATCAATTACTTTACTTCGTGTGATCCCCACCATGACATTTATACATTTTCTTACTGGCAAATCTTCTGGCATTCTATCTGACATATCTTCTGACATTCTATTTGACATTCTATCTGGCATATCTTCTGGCATATGATCTGGCATATCTTCTGGCATATCTTCTGGCAAATCTTCTGGCATTCTATCTGGCATATCTTCTGGCATTCTATCTGACATATCTTCTGGCATTCTATCTGGCATTCTATCTGGCATATCTTCTGGCATATATTCTGACATATCTTCTGGCATTCTATCTGGCATATCTTCTGGTATATCTTCTGGCATTCTATCTGGCATATCTTCTGGCATATCTTCTGGCATATTATCTGGCAAATCTTCTGGGATTCTATCTGGCATATCTTCTGGCATTCTTTCTGACATTCCATCTGGCATATCTTCTGGCATTCTATCTGGCATATCTCATGAGGTCCGGCAGGGAACACTTGGCGTGGATACTCGCGGTTGAGGTCCGGCAGGGAACACTGGGCGTGGATGGTCGTGGTTGAGGTCCGGCAGGGAACACTGGGCGGGGATACTCGCGGTTGAGGTCCGGCAGGGAACACTGGGCGTGGATGGTCGTGGTTGAGGTCCGGCAGGGAACACTGGGCGAGGGTGGTCGTGGTTGAGGTCCGGCAGGGAACATTGGGCGTGGATGGTCGTGGTTGAGGTCCGGCAGGGAACACTGGGCGTGGATGGTCGTGGTTGAGGTCCGGCAGAGAACACTGTGGATCGCGGGTCGCAGTTGAGCAAGGACGACGAGGACGAGGACGACGAGGACGAGGCAGGAGGAGGCGGAGGAGGAGGAGGAGGAGCAGGAGGAGGAGGAGGAGCAGGAGGAGCAGGAGGAGCAGGAGGAGGAGGAGGCAACTGACATAAAATCTAACAACCCTCACCTGGCAGGTGGGGAATTTGTTTTGTTTTTTAAATGTTATTTTGGCTTTCGTTGTTTTTTGTTAAATATGTTTTTTTTGATTTGTTTATTTTTATTTTTTGTTTTTTTTAATATATTGATTGTTTGCTGCATTTTTCTGATTTGTTGTTTTTGTTCGATTTTTTCGTTCATTTTTTCGTTTTTTTTTTCGAATATGTTAACTGTTTGTTTTTTTCTGTGGAATTTGTTCCGTTGTTTCCTGTTTTTTTTTGTTTTTGTTTTTGGAGTGTTTTGCAATGAGTGGATTGTTTGTTTTCAGTTGTTTTTGGATTTTTTGTTTTTTTCAGAATTTGTCAGAAGTTGTCAGTTCTTTTTGCAAGGATAGCAACTTTTAGGAGTAGCCCTTTGAGGAGTATCCCAGGGCTCTTTAAAGAAATTTGTCATGATCAAAAAATATTACTTCTATCGCGGATAATACTTAGCGATTGTTTGATCAAAAGCCATGACACCTGACAGGTACAATATTGTAATTCGAAACAAGTTCTCACTCCTCATTTCAGTCACATCAGTTCAGTGGAACGTTCATGGCACCTTGCCATATTTTGCAATGCCCCAAAAGACTCCTTGGTGCTGGTTTTGTTTGGGGTTCTATCATGCCAATTAATTCAATGTGGATTGTATGGGATCATAATTACCAATGTTGGGTCAAAATTTGATTGTTGTAATTTAGCATAACCCATAGGATTCATGTATGGTATATATGCTAACATTGGGGGTATATTGATGGTAAATGTTACCATATATAGCATACATGGATCCTATGGGTAATGAGGTTTACTAGGTCTCTCTGAGTCTGTTGGTTGATCGTGATATGTTTCCTGCTCCTACAAAAACGCAGGGAGAAGAGATGGCAGTCGAGAACCCGGAAAAGAGACAGCACCTTGGCGTTTGGGTGCTGAAAGAGTCCTGTACTACTATAGTTATTGATGGTTTAATTGTGATGAATGGTGATTCATAGGGAGTATGGATTGAACCAGACATATATGTGAATTGCAGACTGTGATGATGGTTTATGAGGCCTTCTTTCAGCAGGGCCGCGCAAGCGAATTCTCCGGGCCTTATTCCAGCTACTTTCAGGTCAGCGAATCAAAACAAATTCAGCTAGATAGACCCAACTATTTGGCTATTCCCAATCCCAAGAATGGGGAGCTATGGTAAGCTAATGCAATTTCCCAATGGGCTAACGTAATTCTCTACCCGCTCCAGAATGAGTCAACATCCATTCACAATTTCTAGCCTTACCTGAAATTTGGTTTTGGGTTTATCTAAACGATTTACGGAAATTCCATTTCGAAGCGAAATTGCATACATCATTACTCAACATGAATCACATTGTTTCGGTATAAAATGAAGTCTTGATATACCCTCTGGTAATTTAGCAGTTCGCTATGGTATAGATGGCTCAGTTAGTTCGTTGATTTACCATGATTTACCTATTAAAAGTGGTGATTTTCATATGTTGAGGGTACCCTCTTCTCTTCCAGCCGCTGCCGCTGTGAGCATTTTTCAGGAAACGCGGCAGGACAGGACCCGACGGAGTGGTCTCGGCGGAGGAGCGGTCGGCAGCGAAACATCAGTGTCAGGAGATGCAGGCGGGGCGGGATATCTCGAGATCTACCCATGGTTACAATGTGAGGCCCCCAAGATAGCTAAGTTGGTTCAAAAAACTCCAATAACTATGGTTTATGGTATGCAAATAACTATAGTTCCTGGGGCGAATCTAAACCAACTTATATCTTGGGGGCCTCACATTGTAGGTCTTGGGGGAACTATCCCAAAGTTCCCAAAGCCTGACATTTCAGGTTGGTGAATTATGTAGTTGGAGGGATTTGACCAGGAAGTTGGAAAATTGACCATTTTGACCAGGAAAAAATGAAGGTTTAATGGGGATAGAATGGGTATAAAATGAGGGATGTCATGGGATTTTACATTGGAGTTGGAGAGTTCTTATTCCAGATAGATGGAAGAGCATTCAAGCAGGCACAGCAGCTCAACTACATTAGGAAGGGCCTAAGGGTGTGAAAGTAGTTACATCTAATCATCCATTCAGCCCGCAATATATTGGCGAATGGGAATTATCCCATAAACATAACTGCTTCAGAAAGCTGGAATAGATTCGAATAGTAGATGTACCATGTGTTAAACATATGGCTATGGACCGATACCTATAGATACAAATTGTTAGGGGATGAACATTCATTTACCAGCAATTTTGATGTTCACTAGGTGCCAGGGTTTTGACCCATCCCTATATGTCTGTCGCCCAAGATTCGCCTGCTGGTCATCACCAGGATGATGCCACAAGGATTCCATCAGATTCCGAGTCCGAGCCTTCCAAGTGATTGTTTATCGGGATATAAATGGGGATGTAAATGGGGAAATGGTGGGGAATTAAAAACAAAACATGTTTCAGATTTTTTTGGCAGCATCACCATGAAAAAACTGTACCCACTGTAATGAAACTGTGATTAATTTACAATATAGCACCAGTTTCATCACCATCATTCGCTACGTTATTTGCAGATTATTATATTATATTAATTATAATTCACCATCCATCTATATCCCAACAACATAATGAAGTAAAGCTGCTAGGAAATCTAGCATTCGGGGATCAATCTTATCACTCATTGATAAGATAATGGAATACTGTTTTTGTTGTTATTGGTTTTCCAATAGAATAACCCATTACAGATATTATCACAACCACCATCAGCACAAAAATAAAAATTATATAACATAAAACTATATAGATCTATATAGATTATAAGCCTTTCACCAAAAAAAAATAATCAAAAGTGTACAAGTTGTAGACCTGGAATCACCCTTGGGTGTGTTTTCCCAAGAGTGACACCACCAAGATCACCCCTTTCCGACTTTCCAGGGATCCTCGCCAGGTTCGGCTTCAAGAGATGCGCCAAGACGAGGAGGAGCGACAGCGGCTGCTGATGCAACGCCGCCAGCGGAAGGTGAAGGACCGACCGCCACGGCGATGCTGAAACGGGTGAAATCCTATGGAATGACATTGGATTTTATATGATTTTATCTTTGATAAATCAGCGATTTCTTGGGGTCAGGGTTGAAGAAATCCACATGGAAGAAATCCATCTTGGGATCAAAAAAACCGTAGAAATGCAGGATTCAATCCACGAATAAAACCACCAAAAAAAGGATTGTAAGGATTGAACTTGATTTAGTACGCAAAACATTGTTTTTTCACACAGAATTTTGGATTTTATCACCCCAAATCCACTTCAAAAAAAATGGTTTTCATCCAGGCAACTTGGGATTTCACCTGCACAGATTGCATCTTCAACCCACCTTTCAGTGGTGGATTCAATGACACAAAATGGGGAGTCAACCCAAAAGTGAGAATCATGAGGCCGCCTTCCCCTTGATCCAGAAATCCCATAGGATCCATGTATGGTATATATGCTAACATTGGGGGTATATTGATGGGATCCATGTTACCATATATAGCATACATGGATCCTATGGGAATATTCAGTGGAATTTCAGTGGAGTTTAACATAGTTTAACCATTGCACCTGAAGAAAATCCTTGGAGCAGGGCGTGCTAGGAGCCACCAGAACATGCCGAAAAGGCGGCGAGGATCACAGAGGAGAATTCGAGAGATTTGTTACTCAAAGCACACGAACCTCGACTGCCTCAACTTCTCGGTTTCCGTCACGGGGACGGACTAGACCTCCTCGTACCGGTAGATGAACTTGGGCATATGTAAACATGATTAAACATGCAGATACGAGACGGAAAGAGAATGCTGAAGAAAACGGTCTTTCTATGTTTAAGTCCGATTTGAATCATTCATCAGAATATGATGATATAGAATATGATTGAATATCATATATGTTAAACTTGACTCTCCCTTGTTAAGCTCATTGAACCCATGCCACGCTGCTTCAGCTCAGCTGTTTTGCAGCGAATTTAAGCTGCCAAAACGCGCCATGGTGTTATTGCCGTGGCTGCTATGGATGTCTTTAGTCCCCAGCCGTGGCACTGGTGGCACTGGAAGCTGCAAGGAGATTGGTTGTGGAGGTCATGATGAGACGTGCCACTGGGACCAACTTCGAGCGAAGATATTGAATCACATTTAGTGCTTACTTGCCTTATTTGTTGACAAGATTTCACAAGAAAACATGGCCAATTGTATTTTTTACAATGGAAAAAACACTGGGTACAGGATGGTACAGGTTTTGTTTTGAAATTTGTGTGCCACTTCTAGCTCACCAAAAGATATTCATAATTTTGGTACAATTCCCAAGTGTAGTGATGCGGTTGATGTACAAGATAATTGTCTGGATGCTGTAGTCCACAAAGGAATATTCATGTTGCGTTTCCTGAAATCCGGGATTTGCCGTAGCAAAACCTGCCGCGGATCGTTGTTCTGCAGTGAAACCTTACCAATGACCTGGAATGTCCTATAGGAGGTGTGGAGCTGAAGGCTCCATTCTCGGCCAAAATTCATGATTAAATTCACTGTTTTTTTGGTTACTGTAGGCTATCCCGAATCATTCTCGCCATTTGCTGCTGAAGTTCCTTTTCCAGCATTCAATGGATTGGCTTAAGGGAAAATCTGCAGGAAACCATGGATTTTCCCATGAAATATGGTGGGTGTCCTGTATTTTTTCCCTTAAACCAATCCATTTTCCACCATAGTTCTGCCTTCGCAGGTTGGTGCGTGGCGTCTTGTTGGAGCTTCAACGACTGCTGCGAGGACTTTGCGTCGGTCTGTCCGGAGAAGCCACCCAGTGTTCAGCTGGCGGAGGTCCCGTGGGGATCTGTGGGGGTTGCAGGTGTCTGGGGGATTCATGGTCAGCAGACAGACATCTGCAAGTCATGGCTTCAGAAGGGGTGTTGGACATTGGACAATGACATGACTTGACGATTTTTTCGACTAATGTGGGTAAAACAATAATAAACCACCCAGTTGGGAATGGTTGATACCACCTATAAAAATGGTGATGACTGGGGGATGGTTTATGGCATTGTTTTAACCACATTACACTGATCATGTTTTTTATACACTGATTATTACTGGTTGGTGGTTTGGAACATGATTTTTATGACTTTTCATTGGGAATAATGATCCCAACTGGTGAATATTTTTCAGAGGGGTTGGTATACCACCAACCAGGGGGATTATATCATGGCCATCATTTTCTACTTTTTTTTTCATGATTTTAATGGGATGACTTTAACAAAAAACTGAAGATGGTTTCTAAGGGAATTTTCACCCTATGAATGATTTATATCATGGGTTATATAACGGGTTTCAATGGGATTTAACCAGATTTAGGGGTGTTGATGCTTTGTCAGGAGCCATTCCTCTTAATTGATCTGGGGTTGTTCAGGCTTAGGGTTTAGGTTTATACGCACACACATTATACAGTATGTTGATATAATATGCATAATACATAATATCTTATCTATCATATATATATATGTACATGTATGTATGGACATTGTAACATGTTACTCTTTCATACTTGCTTATTGGGGTTATATAGAATCATTTGTAACCTTTTAAAACCCAATTTGGAGGTGGTTTGTTGGGGATTGCATTCCAAAAAGTCTTAAAACTCACTTGGTTGATAGTTGTTATTAGGATATAGCGAGTACATATAAATAGTGCTGAATTATTGGGATATGATGGGATATGATGTGAGACAATCAAGTATAGTTTAACATGGCAAACCATTAAAATATGGACAACACGTATATAGACACATGGTGAACATCCAGTGTCAGTCAATGATAATTAACCCTCCGTGGGCCACGATGGGTTAACTAGGCTCCGATTGAATTTCTGAAGTCACTCAAAATCCTTGTGTTTCAAATCTCCCACAGACCTTCCCTGTTTGAAAATCACATATTACCCTCTAACTAAATATGGCTTGCTGATATATCGATGCTTGTTGGAAGATCCGTCATTTAGGTCAGTGATACCATCTGGTTATTTAACATAGCCATTGAACATCACCATTTTTAATAGGTAAACCATCTATAAATGGGCCATTTTCCATGGCTATGTTAAATAACCAGAGGGTACTCCCATGAAACCAACACCTTACGTGGGAAAGCCAGTACCATAAACCTACCACGCCCTTGGGGATGGATTCATTCCCACATCGCCGGAAAAATCCAGCCATGTCAGCCGCGATGCTGGCATGGCCTTCATAGCTATTGCCTTTTATTGCCTTGTTGATGGTTGAATCTTCATCAAATCTTCATCAAATCTCCATAACATTTCCATCAACTTCCATTAAATCGACATAAATCGATTGATTTCCAGCCAGGTGAATTTCTTGGTCACCACAGACCTTCACTCCTGGATCGAAGGTCGAAAGCATCAGCCGCACCTGGACGCGAGTCTGGCGCATGTGGCCTCCGCGCCTGGCGCCGAAAGTTACAAGACTTGGGGGTGCAGGCGAGGTTTCCCAATAGGTACCCTCTGGTAAATTAACATAACTATGGAAAATCACAATTTTGTTGGGAAAACTCACTATCAATGGTCATTTTCAATAGCTATGTTAGTTTACCAGAGGGTATATGTAACTATGATTTTAATAAATGTAACCATAGTGGTAACCTCATAATTCCATAGGTGGCTATTAAAACTCTTATACCTCACTAGTATAAATAGGTAGGAGAGTTTTAATAGCCACCATGATAAGGTCGGATATGGGCCCGTATATTATATATGCACACTATCACTATTATATACTTAGCTATATCCTTATGTGATACAGTCATTTTTGTATCACTTTGGGGAACGCTCGGATTGCAGAAATGTGTGCAGTATCAGATTCATGGCATCCCCCGAGCAGCGCAGCTGTGCACATCTTACGCGCAGTGCCCATGAAGTTGGGCACGAGTACGATCACGAGCGGGACGAAAACATGTGGTGATTTCCACTTGGCCAAAGCCATCACAGGTAGGTCGCATCCATCTGGGTAAATTATAACGACTTAGTGAACTATGTAATTTACCCAGATCCATGAATTCCTAATTGCTAACTGAATTGCTAAGCATGTGTGCATATGATTGCATATGTACACCTGTAGTTGCATAAATGCTCAGCTGGGTAAACCGGCCCCTCACAACCCTATCATAGAAGTGCTCAAATAAATAAACATTGATGAACTAATGAATAATGATCGATTTAGGCTGAAAGTGCCCATTCAGTGGATTTATATTGCAAATGAGGGGTGAGCAAAAATAGATGTAGCACTTGAAGATCCAGGTATTCTTGAATTATACTAATATATACCTAGACATCCATTCGTACTAGAAAAAAGTATCCCCCCCATGGTTTCGTACTAGTTTTCATGAAAAGCATGAAATATGGCAAATCATTCAAATTTTGTCAAAATAGTGATCTTCGTAGCGTTTTTTTTTGTATTGCTTTTTAAGGGCACCAAACATAAACATAATGAAAAACACAGCGCAACTCGAGCGCAATTTTGCGCAACTCGAGCGCAATTTGAAAAAGTAGTACACTTTGCACAAATTCACCAGCAAGATCATTTACTTTTTTTTAACGCGACCACTTTTTTGTGAAGCGTCATCAAACTTGTCGAAACGACAACGTTTCAATTCGTGTTTTTTTCTAGTACAAATGGACGTCCAGGTACATACTATATATATATATACATACTATATATATATACACACACCATATGTACCATATATATATATATGTCCACTTACAACTGGAACTGTACCCCAAGTACGGCTTAGCCTTATACAGGAACATCATGGGTCGTCGGAAATTATTCCCCTTCTTTTGTGTATATCCCTCTTCCATAGCGAACATATGAACTATACTGGTTGAGGCACCATTAAACTATATGAAATTATATATGAAACTAAATGGAAGTCACAAACTGACTTCTATTTGAAACAGAGATTCGTTCTTTCTCTTGTGTTCTTGGATTTACCACCATTCTATCAACATCAAATCACTCTTAAATCACTATACTATTAGCTCCCATCAAATGTCCTAAATAGACTGATGAACTATATCCCATCACTATGAATCACAATATCATGGCTGGTTGGTGGTTTGGAACATTTTTTATTTTCCCATATATTGGGAATAGTAACCCCAACTGACGAACTCGAATTTTTCAGAAGGGTTGAAAGTGAACTATGTAATTTACCCAGATCCATGAATTCCTAATTGCTAACTGAATTGCTAAGCATGTGTGCATATGATTGCATATGTACACCTGTAGTTGCATAAATGCTCAGCTGGGTAAACCGGCCCCTCACAACCCTATCATAGAAGTGCTCAAATAAATAAACATTGATGAACTAATGAATAATGATCGATTTAGGCTGAAAGTGCCCATTCAGTGGATTTATATTGCAAATGAGGGGTGAGCAAAAATAGATGTAGCACTTGAAGATCCAGGTATTCTTGAATTATACTAATATATACCTAGACATCCATTCGTACTAGAAAAAAGTATCCCCCCCATGGTTTCGTACTAGTTTTCATGAAAAGCATGAAATATGGCAAATCATTCAAATTTTGTCAAAATAGTGATCTTCGTAGCGTTTTTTTTTGTATTGCTTTTTAAGGGCACCAAACATAAACATAATGAAAAACACAGCGCAACTCGAGCGCAATTTTGCGCAACTCGAGCGCAATTTGAAAAAGTAGTACACTTTGCACAAATTCACCAGCAAGATCATTTACTTTTTTTTAACGCGACCACTTTTTTGTGAAGCGTCATCAAACTTGTCGAAACGACAACGTTTCAATTCGTGTTTTTTTTTCTAGTACAAATGGACGTCCAGGTACATACTATATATATATATATACATACTATATATATATACACACCATATGTACCATATATATATATATATATGTCCACTTACAACTGGAACTGTACCCCAAGTACGGCTTAGCCTTATACAGGAACATCATGGGTCGTCGGAAATTATTCCCCTTCTTTTGTGTATATCCCTCTTCCATAGCGAACATATGAACTATACTGGTTGAGGCACCATTAAACTATATGAAATTATATATGAAACTAAATGGAAGTCACAAACTGACTTCTATTTGAAACAGAGATTCGTTCTTTCTCTTGTGTTCTTGGATTTACCACCATTCTATCAACATCAAATCACTCTTAAATCACTATACTATTAGCTCCCATCAAATGTCCTAAATAGACTGATGAACTATATCCCATCACTATGAATCACAATATCATGGCTGGTTGGTGGTTTGGAACATTTTTTATTTTCCCATATATTGGGAATAGTAACCCCAACTGACGAACTCGAATTTTTCAGAAGGGTTGAAATCACCAACCAGACAATATCATGGGATCACCATAGGATAATTTCCACCAGAAATCTCCCATGAAATTCCACCAGAAACTCCACCCGCGCACTGAGGTCCTAGAGCATCTCCGCCACAGCGCCCGCAGCGCCATGCGCGACGTCTTCTTCTTCGACAACGGCGACATCAACGACGGCACTGGGCTATCAGCCTCCGCAGAGGACCACGTGGAGTACCTGGCACCAGTATTGCGGAGCGCTAAATATGATGCCTTGAATGTGGGCAATCATGAGTTGCTTGGATCTGGTAATGACTAACAGTTTGCGAACTTGAAAATGGCCCATACATTGAAATAGTCCATTGACTCATTTCTGGTAATGACGAACAGTTTGCGAACTTGAGAATGGCCCATTGAACTAGTTACCGAAAACGAAGATGGTGATCCCATAGCTATGTTAGTCTACCAGGGGGTAACAATATTGATAGAACCTTACGTAAATATTGTGGTTCTGGTGATTGTTAACTGTTGTGCGGTATCATGCGGTAAACATATTGTTCACCGGTTGAATTGCTGGTTGTGGTATTTATTTTCTGTTTATATAGACATGTCTTTCCTGTGCTGAACAGAATGTTTGTTGTTTATTTTGGTGTCCTAAGATGATGTTCCATGATGATTCAATTTGTCAAACCATGATTATTAGTCATTCCATCATTACATGATGACTCAATTAGTAATGTTATAACCATGTTTTTTCTATTTTCCAGGGACTCAAACACCAAGCAGGTTGTATCAGCGCAATGGATATGGAGCCTGGGATCGAGGAGACCGGAGGAGACCGAGAGTCATCAAAGATGGCACTCACATGTGGCATTTATTGACTGGTTGGTGGTTTGGAACACATGTTTTTTGGTTATTAATATGACTTTCCATTCAGTTGGAAATTTCATAACCCCAACTGACTTTCACTCCATGATTTTTCAGAGGGGTGGCTCAACCACCGACCAGTTGAATTTACAGATACTGAAATCCTTCGAACATGAGATTTTTAGAGGGCCCGTAGACATCATAGCTACATTCTGACCACGTCTCGACGTCGCTGAGGAATGCTCCCAGGTGCTGCGTGTCCCATCGTGGGGCTGAAGGAGTCTGGCTATATCGACTCGTGGAACGGAAGAGTCTCAGCTCGCAGCTCGTGGGGCCGTGCTTTGGGGATTGAACAAATGCCACAATGAGTTCAGCAGAACATGGATATGATGGATATTTATGATTGATGGATATGTGGATATATGAAATATTGATGTTTCATGATGTTTCTGGTAATTTGGGTATATGAATTATATTGTATATAATATATATATATATATATGTGGTATGGAAACATCATGAAATATGGATAATATATGGATAGAAATGATATGACATATGGTTTCATGATGATGGTCAACTGCTTTTTGGTCAAACATCAACAACATAAAGTATGATTAAAACGGAAACAACATTGAACATATTGTTTTGATGGAATATATATGCTGCTGACATGCACCTGGCAGTTGTTTTACTATGTGGTTGTTTGACATGATCAATTTCCTGGGTAAACCGAGTTGTGAAGGTAGTTACCAGGTAGTTTGTTAGTGATGTTTTGGTAATTTCATGTGTATGTATATATATATATTGTATACATGGATACGACTGTAGCCTACCCAGCTAGAAGTCATATTGGAGGTAAACCACGGTTCTCCTGTTTAGCTGGTTTCCTTTGATTTGTTTCTGCAGTCCAACTGTATCTATTTTAGTCCACCATCTATCTAATCCAGGCAAATTTCAGTCAAGAGCAGTCGTTTTTTTCCAGAACTTAAGAGATGGAAGATGCACAGCAGCCTTCAACAAGCCTTGTTTAGCATGACATACTCCCAAATCACGAAAGAAACTGAGGAAATATTGCCAAGACTTTGCCACACTTCCTGGTTTTTCCATGTATTTCCCTCCTTCTATACAATTTGAAATCAATTGGCAGTTTGATCTACCATGATTTATCCCATTCATCCACAGGCCCCTTCCCGGCCATCTCCCAAGCGGGGGGTGTCGCCGTCGCGAGGATATTTGACCTCCAATGTCGTTTGGGCAAAGAGTCAGCAGCCCGTTGGAGAACGCTATGCAGTCATTGAGGGCGAGCTGCTTGGGTTTCGATGGGATTATTGAACTGATGACTGTAAACCAGACACCCAAGGACCCAGACTTGTTGATGAATTTGGTGATTTCGGGTGCGTCATTGGGATGTCGGTTTCCCTGTTGACAGCAGGAGAATTTAAGCAGTGACGATTGGTACCTTTTAAGGGATGTTTTGAAATTACCAATCAGCCATGAATGTTGGACATTTCTACTGAAGCTTGGGGTAAACAAGGTTTTTTTCATTGCTGCTTCACCCGCTCACATTCAACCCAATTCCCCAAGCTGAGTCCAAACAAAAAGGTTCCAAAATCAGTTCCCAAAATATGGTCTTCAACTTCAGAACAGCACGGCATAAGATTGGTTCCTGTGTCAGAAGCTCTCAGAATTTGTTCCCAAATATGATTATAATTATTGTGTTTCCACTTACATAGGTTTGGTGGGTACCTGAGAATGAGAATCGGTATCGTATCCTCAATTCCAGTGGAGTATCATCATATTCTGCGTTTAACAGCCATAGAAAAGAGTACAGTATTGAGGTATATCCTGTATCCTGTTTTGGACACACCCAAATCCATTATTCAATAGTTGATTCCCTGTTTTTTTGATGCATACAAAGCCATTTGTAGAGCATTTCCCATCATTTACCAACATATTCCCAATATACCTCTATATAATTTCCCAAGGATTGTGTATGGATATAGTTAGTAATTGAAACCAATATTTGCTACTAAATCAAATCTATGGTAAATCCCATTATATCCCCCATGATAAACCCACTATATCCCCATGAAACTTCCTTTTCCCATGGTCAAAGTGCCATTTTCCCATGGCTACCGGATGTACCATCCGGTAATCAAACGTGCTGGACAATCTCATCTTCATGAATGGTTTGTTCCCAGCGAATTAAACGATTTCCCAGCCATGTTTGATTACCAAAGAGTAATGGGTTGACTCTTAGGTTACTATACTGACTAGATATCTAGATTGTGTTCTATTTCAATCCCATGATATCCCAATAACCCATAAACATATGTGGGTGATTATTCTTGATCTAGATAGATAGATAGATGGATAGCTAGATAGATAGATTAGATTAGATTAGATTAGATTAGATTCGATAGATAGATAGATAGATAGATAGGTAGGTAGGTAGATAGATAGATAGATAGATGGATATATTTTCCAGTCTTATTTTTCCCATAAATCACACATCTTTTTTGTCACCTGTTGGAGAAGCCTCGCCGCAACACAGGTTCGGAACGAAGCTCTTGGTCTTCGGTTTCCTCTACAACATGCGCGACCATTGTGATGCCGTTCAGGTCTTGGATGTCCAAGATGTGGTGAACTCCACTTGGTTCCAAGATGCAGTGGATGGCTATGCAGCTCATGTCGAACCTTAGATATGATGAGATTATCGATACGAATGAGATGCGAACAGGTTGAACAGGTAGATTGAATTATCCTTAGATATGTTTGTGCAGTTTTTTTTAAAAGTGAGCATTGTGTAAAAGCTGAGACCCTCCTGTACACTGTAAACTAACAGCTAGATGTTGAGTTTACCCGCCATTTGTAGCTAGGAAAACATAGGAAGACCATCGGTTTTCCACATTTTTTTGTTACTTCACCCTGGGGTAATCAAGTGTAATCGACCTCGTTGACCAGTTGCAAGACCACTTGGAGGTCCGCAAATATGGGAAGCAATGGTAATAGCGGTATAACGATGAAAGCAACACACACACATAATACACGTCATAATGTTGGTAAATCAACAATAAACCACCCTAAACCGCCAGTATTTTGATGGTAGTAAGGGTTGATCTAAACTGGAATGGGTCACTCAACCACCTACCAAACATATACCTTGTCACAGTGTCGAATGATTGACTTCGGCAAATTTGGCCGGCAATCGTTGTGTGTCCCAGTGAGCAGCTTCGACAGATTTAATCGATTTACACTTAGCTGGAAGATCAGCGGTATTTCATTATTCAGTCACTATATGGTTTGGTTAATGTACTATGGTTATAGTACTATATGGTTATAATAAACCAGGTGCTATAATGTACTAGTCAATAATGTACTATAATGTACTATAATATCATGAATGGTAATTTGGTTATTATAGTACATAAAATAGCGCCTGGTGAAGGTATGGAAGACTAAAACCCATAGATCCATATAGATCCGGGATACCCATAATGTTTAAAACTGGCCAAAAGTTTTGAGCCCCTCAAAGTCTGCCAATCCTTGATGCAAAAAATCCTGCAAGGTGGGCTCCCCCCGCCCGGGCGTCAACTTTTTGCGATTTCCAAATCCCATATCACGTCCTCATTGTTGCTGGTAAGTCACTGGTAAGTCATACCTAACTTCTTGCGATTTCTAAAAAACAAATATATATATATGATATATATATATATCATATATATATATATACACGCAACGCCTGGGCAAAGCCCAGGCGTTGCAGCGTAGAGGTTTCCCATTCCCAAACAAATGTTGATGCAACTTCACAAAAACTTCCTATGGGAAAAACAACAAAGGCACTAGGGAATATTAAACTTCCTTCCCCGTTGAACCTTACATTCCTATGGGAAAAACAACAAAGGTACTAGGGAATATTAAACTTTCACCCTCGTTAAACTTTACATTCAATTGGGAAGATCAACAAAGGTACTAAGGAATATTAAACTCTCACCACCGTTAAACTTTACATTCAATTGGGAAGATCAACAAAGGTACTAGGTAATATTAAACTCCCACCCCCGTTAAACTTTACATTCATTGAAGATCTTCAAAAAGTGTTTAATTCTCCCACCCCCGTTAAACTTCTACATTCATTGAAGATCTTCAATAAGGGTTTTAATTCTCACAACCCCGTTAACTACATTCATTGAAGATTTTCAATAAGGGTTTAATTCTCCCAACCCCGTTAAGCTTCTACATTCATTGAAGATTTTCAATACTAGTAAGGGTTTAATTCTCCCACCCCCGTTAAACTTCTACATTCATTGAAGATCTTCAATAAGGGTCTAGTTCTTATGATGATGATGATGATGATGATGATGATGATGATCATGATCATGATCATGATCATGATCATGATCATCATGATGATCATGATCATCATGATGATCATGATCATGATGATGATGATGCGTCGCCTGTAGTCATTGCGGGTCCGGGCAAAGCCCAGGCATTTGCCGTATATATATATATATGTGTGAAATCACTTCTGGATCCATGAGCCATCCAACATATGGCTATGCATGTCATGTTCCGCAGGGATCTCAACGAGCTCAAGGTGAGTAGAAAAGCTGAGCGCCCACATGTGCGGCCCCGGGTGGGGCTCTCCGCATTCGCATTGGTAGCGGAGCCCCGCCCGGGGCCCGCTGACGTAACATGTCGGATGACAGGAACCTCAAAAGGTTCAGTGGAGAAGATGAAGACCCAGGAAAAGCTTTGAAACGCTGGAAACTCTGGGCTACAGCACGAATGTTGACTTACAAGGATCTCAAGCCAGAACAAAGGGGCCCTTGGATATTCACACTTCTGGATGGTAAAGCCTGGGATGCATGTGAACACTTATCCCTGGAAAAACTATCGTCAGCTGAAGGTGAATCAGAGATTTGGAAGTTGCTGGAGTCGCGATTTCCCGAGAAGGAACCCTACGACCAGATGGGTGAGGCCTTGGGGGCGGTTTTCGCCCTTGCAGCAAAGGATGGAGAAGATCTGAAGTCTTGGACTGGTCGAGTCAGAGACACTTTCGACCAGTGTCAACGCAAAGGAAACGTTAAGTTTCCATCTGAAGCCAAAGGATGGATCTTGCTACACTGCGCTGGCATGTCCGAGGAACAGAGGGCCATTGTGAAGGCCAAAAGTCAAGGGCAACTAGACTTCGAGCTGGTGTCACAAGCTTTGCGTTCTTGTTTTCCTGAATACAAAGCTACAAGCAATCGCAAGAAGAGCATCGGAGTCTATCAAGCCGAGGAACTGTCAGATGGCCGAGGTGAACAAGGTGATGTAGATGATGACAGTGACTTCAAAGATGTTGAAGCTTTTCTGTCAGAATATCAAACAAGCCAAGATGACCTTGGCGATCTGGGGGCGTTCACAGAAGAGGAGGCAGCCGAAGCCCTAGCTGTGTCTTGGAGTGAGCGGCGACGTGAAATTGCCAAACTGAAACAGTCTCGACAATTTGGAGCTGCACACAAGGATCGACGTAGCTTCAGAGTAGAGATTGAAGAATTGAAGAAGAAGACTCGTTGCAGGAAATGCAACAAACTGGGACACTGGGCTAGGGAGTGCAGAACACCCAATCCTGACAAGAATGCGTCATCTAGTTCATCATCAGGGGCTCCCACCGGAGCAGGCTATGTTCAAGTTGACTACACTGGGCTTGAGAGCGTAATGGAGGGTGAAGAGCCAGAACCCACATTTGTGGGAGCCGCAGGACTCTTCTCTTCCAATGATGGTGAAGTGCTGACTAGTGGATTAGTGTCATCACCTGGATTTGGGGTGGTGGACAGCGGGTGTGGAAAGACGTTGATTGGGGAAGACACACTTCTCCAATTGTCCCAATTGATTGAATCCAAGGGCTATGGACCCGTCAAGTTCAAGTCCGAGGAGAATGTTTTCAGATTTGGAGATGGCATGACAGAGCGAGCAACTCAGGTAGCCACACTGCCTCTGGGTATTGCACAGACCTATGGTACAGTCGATGCTGCAGTCATATCTGGGTCTGCACCCTTACTGTTAGGCCGACCAACTCTGGTGAAGATTGGAGCATGTCTGGATTTCCAAACTAACAACATGAAGTTTTTGGGAACCACGGCCGAGCTCAAGACCAACAGTGCAGGGCAACTTTTGGTCGACGTGCTGAACTATCCTGGTAAGTCGGCAGAGCCGACACCTGAACATGCACCATCGCCTGGAGCCACAGTCAAGGGGTTGCCTAAGTCCTCAAGTAAGACCAAAATAACACTCAAGAATAAAGAATGTAGGTGCTTACTAGCTCAGATGACTAAGAATAGGAATCCCTCCAAATGTGCAGTTGCTGAACTATTTTCACCACCAAGATTTGCCGTAGAAGCCAAGGCGCGAGGAAGAGAAGCTCTCTCTTACGATATAAAGCAGGGATGGGATCTAACAGACCCCAAAGTTCAGAAAATAGTTGATGCCCAACTGGAAGAAGCTAACCCTGATCTCTTGGTGATCTGTCCAACCTGCACCCATCGAGGTGGATGGGAACATCTGAACCGCTGCTACCGGTCGCCTTTAGAGACTGCTCAGCTGCTCAAGAAATCACGTGAGCAAATTCGCTTCAGCGTCCGTCAAATGCACAAGCAGCTGGCTCGTGGAGGCGAAATCATGTTTGAGCATCCATGGGGTTCAGATGTTTGGAACGATTCCGAAATGATTCCACTGCGTAGGAAGTTTGGGGTTAGGCGTGTAGACATGTGTGCATACAACCTTAGATGTCCAGATACCAAATTAACCGTCCGAAAAGCCACAGGGTTGTTGCTGTCTCGTCGTCCCGAAGATCACAACCAGAGCCTGCATGTCTGTCCTGGGTGTCCCAAGCATCGTCTAGTAGAGGGTCGTCTCAAAGATGGTCGAAACGTAAGTGAGTTTGTAGCGGAATGCACTCCAAAGTTTGTCAGAACCTGTGTGTTTCAGAGATGCCCGACACACCCATGCATCAGATTGATCTAGCCGCTTGTGAAGACGTGGAATGCCTAGCTGAGGGAGCAATTCCTGCCCTAGCTGACAGTCAGGAACAATCGACTGAACCTTCAGCAGTCGAAGATCCTGCGTTCCAGTCCGAAGAGAGTGCCAAGGTTCACCAAGCCTTGAAAAAGTTGCATGCCAACCTGGGTCATCCAAGCAACCGTGATCTAGTGCGCATACTCCAACATAGCAAAGCATCAGAGCAAGCCATCAATCTAGCCCGCAAGTTCGAATGTACAGTTTGTGCCAACCATCAGAAGCCAGCATGTTCACTTCCAGCAAAAGTGTCCAGAACTTGGGAATTCAATGAGAGGGTAGGCCTGGATGTCAAGTACCTTCCTGGATGGCGGGTGAACCAACGCATTCCTTGCATCAGCATAGTTGATTATGCTTCGTCCCTGCATGTCATGGCACCGATCTTTCAAAGAGAGACAGCTGAGCTGGTCAAATCTGTGTTGAGAGACGCCTGGATAAGTTGGGCAGGGCCCCCAACAGTGTTGGAAGTAGACCCCGCAAGAACCAATTTGAGCGACACGTTTGGCCAATTCTGTCAGACTCTTGGAATTGATGTTGTCCACACTGCTGCCGATGCTCATTGGCAATTGGGTAAGGTGGAAAGGCAGGGTCAATGGTTTGAACAAATACTTGTCAAAGTTCATGATGAACATCCACCAGCCAAAGCTGAAGAGTTTGTGGATAATATTATGATGGTACAAGTAGCCAAGAATTCCCTTATCACTGTCCCAGGTGCCAGTCCATATCAAATTGTGTTCGGTCGTAATCCAAGAGTTCCACAAGACCTTCTGCAAGAAGATGTTCATGTACCAGCCGTTGATGCCACAGTGTTTGAAGATGCCAGTCAGAAAGCTGCAGCCATACGACAGTCAGCACGCATGGCAGTTCTGCAGTGTCAAGATGAAAAGGCGCTGAAAGCAGCCTTAAGAGCTCGGCCTCGACCACGTAGGGAGTTCAATTCAGGCGATTGGGTTTACTACTGGAGGTCACAGAAATGGCAACAAGGACAGCTGGTCAAAGGTGGTAGGTGGTATGGAGCTGCCATGATTCTAGGTCGGATTGGTGTCAATTTTGTTGTTGCTCATCGTCGCAGCATTTTTAGGTGTGCACCTGAGCAGCTGCGTTTTGCCACATCTGAAGAAAGAGAGGTAGCCACTTTTGATGCCGCTGAACTTTTGGGAATTAAGACCTTGTTGAAAAAAGGGCAATTTCCAACGAGTCAATTCACTGACTTGGTTCACCAAGAAGGTCCTCCGATTCCTGAAAATGTACTTGAGTCTATTCAAGAACATACAGAAGGTGCTAGATCAGCTGCCCAAATCTATGAGGATCAAACAGAAGAACCACAAGTCAAACCTGAGACAGCCTCCAGACCCAATGATGCAACTGAGCCAGCCGAAGCGCAGGCTACTGGTCCCAATGAGTCTGCACCGTTGTCGTCGTATGGGCCAGTGCGCAGAAAAAGACATTGGCACAAGTCCCCTGAAGAGACTTTGCATCGTCCAGCAGCCATGGCACATCATGATTTGGTTGATATTTTACAAGAAGCCATCCCTAGGATGATTGACGAACATCTTGATGCCGCTTCTGGTATTGACCTTGACGAACAATTGAGCAGTAGTCCCAGAGGAGACAGCTCCAAAAGGGAAGCCAGCGCTGAACCTGAAGATCAGCGTGAATCCAACCGACCACGAGTCGAAGACTCTGTGGAGAGCTTGCTGTGTCAGGTTGCCGAAGGCAAAGCCACCATGAGCGTCGACGCCCTCACCGCAGCGTTTCTTCAGAAGAAGCTCCAAAAGGAGATTCCTGCCAGTGGCAATGAACCAGTTCTGCAAGCCAAGGTAGATGAGTCCAAAACCTTAGAATGGGAAACACTCCTGGGGAATGCCATCAGGGTTTGGACTGGAGAAAAAGCAAGATCTATCAAAAAGAATAGTCCTGATCGTTTCATTGGTAGCAGATTCGTCATTGTCAACAAGCAGGATGAGGAGGGTTCTCGAGTGAAAAGTCGGTGGTGCCTTCAAGGTCATCTAGACCCAGATTTCCATGAAAAAATCATGTCTGGAGCATGCCAATCTCCCACATTGCATCCGTTGTCAAGAGCCCTACTCCTGCAAGTAGTGTCTAGCAAGCAATGGACCTTACAATTGGGAGATATCAAAGGAGCCTTTCTTGAAGCTGGACCACTAGATAAAAGATACACTCCTTTATATGCTCATCAACCCAAGGGTGGAGTGCCCGGTCTTGACCCGGAGGATGTCATCGAAGTGGTTGGGAATGTCTATGGTGCCAACGATGCACCCCTCAATTGGTTTACCACGTTTGACGCAGAAACCAAGACGGTGGGGTGGCAGCAGTCCCAGTTTGATAAGTGCTTGTATTTCCTGAGAGACAAGGTAGGAGCTCTGGTAGGGATACTTGGTGCACATGTTGACGATACAATAACTGGGGGCCATGGACCAGTGTATGAACAAGCAATAGCTGCGTTGAAACGTAGGTTTCCTTACAGAAAATGGCGAATTGGCAGTGGAGAATTCTGTGGAGTTCAATATCGTCAATGTCCTCAGTGTTTCAACATTACCTATGGTCAGAAGGAATATGCTGAACACATGAGACCAATCAATCTGACAAAAGAACGCCTGAAGAACAAGAATTCTCATGCCACTGAACGTGAAGCTGCAGCTCTTCGAGCTATCAATGGCGCCGCAAACTGGATCAGCAGTCAGAGCCGTCCAGACCTAGCGGTGCAAACGTCGTTCAGCCAACAGTGCTTCCCAAGTCCGACAGTGCATGATTTGGTTTTTGCAAATCAACTGGTTCACAGGGCTCGTCAAAACAGCCAGGTAGAGATTTGTGTTCAGTCAATTCCATGGGAAGAACTGAATATAGCCTTTCACTCTGATGCTGCATTCGGAAATGCCAAGGGTCACAGAACTCAAGCCGGCTACATGGCTGCTTTTAAAGTGGATAAGAGATTAACCAAGAATGAAACTAGCGCTTGGTCTCCGTTTGCCTGGAAGTCTTTCAAATTGCCGCGAGTGGTGGCTTCCACACTGGCAGGTGAGGCACAATGCTTCACCACCGCAAGTGCTGTCGCTGAGTGGATGTCTCTTCTTTTGGCCGAAGCAAAGCATGGAGCGTTTGATCTTAGAACCAGAGAACAGGTGCAAGGTCATGCTCTAGGACACGTTCAAAGCAAGTGCCGTGATGAAATTCCTTTGGTTGATATCACTGGAATAACTGACTGCAAGAGTTTGTATGATCATGTATCCTCTATGTCATCGGTGTCCAAATGCGATGACAAAAGAGTTGCAATTGACCTTGCCATTTTGCGACAGTGCATGAAAAACTCTGGTCTACAGATCCGCTGGTGCCCTTCGGAATTGATGCTGGCAGATGCCTTGACCAAGGATCAGTTTGAACCGAGCGAACTTCTCCGAACCGCACTAGAGATAGGAGAATACCAACTGAATGCAGAAGCCTTCATACTAGCAATTAAGAAATGTCAACGAGAAAGTCGCAGAAAAGGCCGCCACAAAACATGAGACAGCTCATCACCGAGAGTACAAAATCCGCGCTGGCAATCAGTTTGCCATGACAACAAAAACTATAAAGAGTCAGCATAATGAAAATAAAATGGGGTAATAATCACTGAGGGGGATAACAGTAAACAATAATTAGCAGCCGAACATTCACAAGTGTCTGAGCGTCTGAAGATTTGCCAGTTGTGTGAGGGAACAGCTGTCAGTCCAGCACTTACGTCGCCTATGTGTTTGGTTCAAGACTGTTTTTCAAGTGATCTCATTTCAAGCTCTAGCAAAGTGCTCATTTTTCCCTGCTCAATCCGTGTTTATCGTATAGCAATTTTCTCGTTTCTCCGATGGCATCGTCGAAGACCAAGATGTCTCCGCAGGAGATCTCAGAGCTTGTTCAGAACCTTCACCCCATGGGGCAGCTGGAAGATGTGATGCGAGAGGCCCGTCTGGGCGTTCCTGTGGTGACTGGAGAAAGCGTGAATGACAGCAGCAAACGTCGCTTGTTTGCCGAAGATGAAGAAGATGCAGAGTTTGAGTATATTCCAGCGGATGGCTATGAGGGCCCAACCTGGCGCAAGCGCCAGCAGCCAATCATGCCCAAGCCAACCGGTGGAAGCAGTGCTGCTGAAGCTCTTAAGGTCTTCCATGTGCCAGAGATGGGAATGTCTTTGGCTGACTGGGGCAAAACCATTTGTGATTTGCCCAAGGTTGCCCGTCGCCATTTGACCTATGATGAGATGATCAAAGAAGCCGCTACGGACGATCCGATGAAAGAATATCTCATGTGGATCCTTCATACTGGTACCAAGAGTGCAAAGGTGGATGATTTGCGCAAGTACTTGAATGCCGTTGGATGGTCCACGAGCAAGGACAAATATGCGACTCAGATGACCTATCCTGGCACCACGATGGTGCGTCGTATGAAATGAAGAATTCAAGATTCTTTATTTTAATTTAGAAAGGATTTTAAGGAGTGTGAAATCACTTCTGGATCCATGAGCCATCCAACATATGGCTATGCATGTCATGTTCCGCAGGGATCTCAACGAGCTCAAGGTGAGTAGAAAAGCTGAGCGCCCACATGTGCGGCCCCGGGTGGGGCTCTCCGCATTCGCATATGTATATGGAATATTCCCAGTAGTTCATTGTGTCTGGGAATATTCCATATATCGCTGGGCCCCAGGATGCTGTCGTCGTTCTGGCCCACATGGACTACCGTGACGACTTGGTGGATCTTCTCTGGCGTACACTGCGCAGCCGCGTGGGAGAAACGAAGCCAATCCAAGTCTTTGCGGGACATTCGCACATCCGGGGCTACAGGTGGGGATGCCATGGCACTTACCGTTTGGTAAACTAACAGAACCATGGAAAAGCACATGTTTTTTATGGGAAAATTCATGAAAATTCGCTATAACTGGTGATTTTCCATAGTTATGTTAAATTACCAGAGGGTAGATTTCATCATCTCAAAAATACTAATTAGCTGAAGGATCAAACATGGTGATTGTATGGTTTGGCACCGATGACGATTGTAACCGTCAAGCATGGTGACTTGATGTGATGAAGAACTAAGATGGGATCACTAACGCCTGAGCTGAAATGCTTTTGGTACGGGGCATCCCCAACATTGCCCCAAAATCATCATTTGACATCATGTCCCTATCAAAATCCATCAAACGTAGATACTAGGAGCATTTGGAGCAAACAAAAGAGGATGAGGTTGGAGCTTCCAAGGTTGCGGTTTTGGCTTCACCAGGAAATTTCAGAATTGCCTTGTTGCAAAATCGATTAGGATAGCGGAATTGAACAATCTTGATGGCTTAAGGCTTAAGTGAACATGTTTCTCAATCGGACCCAATCTTCCAAATACATGATTATAAAATACTATAAATGTCCCTGACATCCTTCCATATTTCTCCAGCCGATTGGATTTTGCAAGCCCTGATGTTTCATGTGGGCTTCACCAAGGGTTCTTTTGGGCTGCATTCGTCACAAGAAATTGCGAAGTCGCAGGCAGTTGGATAACTTTTCTTCGGTCTACGAAGCTGGCTGCAAGCTCGACACAGCCACTTGATGAATTTGTGGAGATAAGGCGATGCCAGCCATTCATTTCTGCAATGTCATCGTAGTGACTAAGGAAGTTAGACAAGAAAGACGCTGGCGCTACTCATTCGAACATACGAGATCCACGTTTTCATAGCCTCTGTCAAAAGAAAGGACTGAAAAGCTGGGGAAAATATAAGTAATGGACATAGCTTCTGGTATTATCAACCAGTTCATTGGTGAAGCAACATTAAGTTTGCTGCACTTGGCTATGGAAATCCACCCTAGGAACTTCCAATGGGAAGTCATCGAACGGGGGGCCATGGTTGATGCCTTCGTGGCTCTGAAGGTTGGATTTCTGTCCTTCCAGCATCGCTCGGATGGTTGTGGTTTGGACTTTGACCATGCGAACATCACAGGGAACGTGCACGACATGGCAGGCGCGGCCTGGGGTCTCAGTAGGGATGAAACTGATGAAACATGACTTTTTGATGGTTTATAGAACCCACAAACATGGTGATTTTTTGGGAGGATTTTCTATTACCAACATCGCAAAAAGATCTTGGAGATGGAATGTGAAACACAATTTTGACTGCAGGCTATTGTAGACAATGATGCCAAGGCTTCAAGGAGCGAAAACCCGTGAGCTCATGGGCCGTATTTTATGAACATGTTCAGGGTTAAAAACCCAATGGTGTTTTCTCGAATCTTGAAAATTCCAATGTTTTACAGTTTTACCAGTGTTTCATAGCATAGTTTATGATCATTTTTTTTTAGAATGGCAATTTGGTGGTATGCCCTCATTTCGAGACCAACCTATATTTGCTTCAGATGGCACCCCCATGGCAAGAAATCTGTTTGCCTTTCTTTTGCCATGGTTGATGAACTTCAAGGGCAATTCACAGCAACCGCTATTGGTTTATTGATGAATCACAACATCTTCAAGCGATAATAATATTCTTATTGCTTCATCCCTCAAATTTGTTGGCAATTATGTTACCCGGCCTGGTAAACTAACATAGCAGCAGTTTGCGAACTTGAAAATGGCCATAGAAATAGTGAGTTTTCCCATGAAAATCATGGTGATTTTCCATAGTTATGTAACAGTTTACCAGAGGGTATTCACACAACTTAGGGATATTTCTGCATGGCTAGATTCACAAGGTTCAGCAAACCATAAAAGAAGTCGTGCAGAAGTCTTCCATGACCTATTTATGGTCGTCAAATCAAACTAAGCCGTGAAAATGTCTACCACCATTTGGCAGACCTCACCAGCAGTATGAATGCCATGAAAAAAATGTTGTCCTTAGATGCAACTTGATACCACTATGCCACTATGCCAATCGTCACTATAATTGCTTGATATCGCTAGATAATCTGATATAATCTGTATACTACATGTATGATGTATGTATATAATTGTATATCCCATAGGATCCATGGTGCTGCTATATATGTTAAAATGGTTCCCATCAATATACCCAAGTCATGTTAGCATATATACGATACATGGATCCTATGGATATGTATAATTATGTATATACAAATCAAGAATAGCTCATGGGGGTAAACCCGGTCAACCCGGTCAACCCGGCCAACCCAATTTCACAAACCCATTACCATCCCGAAAAATCCCAGAAATTGGTGGTAATCCAACCATCCCGCCGCCAAGGAGGTGGCTGCAAGTTTGAGCTCGGTAAGTTATGACTCCAATAAGTGTTGGGTTTATGGAACTTATATCCACTATATATCCACTTAGTTGATGCAGGTTATAAACCCTCATAAGTACATTGTTGGTAGTTGGCACACGCTTGGTAGACGGCCGCGTATTTTTGTGCATTTCGGGGTCCTTATAGTACTGGTGTTTACAGCATTTTCTCTGCTTCTCGCTGTGCCAATATGTGCCAATAGCCCAATTTTCATTATCGGTTTCCTCTTATTTTGCACCTGACTTAGAAGGTTTGCACGTCAGTTAGTATGTGTGACAACCATCATGGTTGGGGGGGGTTGGGGGATGGGGTTTCGGGGGGGTGCGATGAGGGTGGGGGTGAAATAACGCCCCTGAGGCTACGCTCTTCACTTTTTCCTTGCAAACTCAAGAAGCTCTGAACTTTCTTTGCAAGTTTTGCACGAAAAACTGTTCTAAACAATGTTTCTGGTCCTTCTCTTGCAGGCCGCAAATCATTGAGAGAGCATGGGGCTCTTTGAGCCTCAACATGTCAATGCCACTTTAAAACTAAATTGCCATACAATATCATACAAGCATGTCAGAACATGTCAAGGGAATGGTGTACCAGTGGGTCTTTTTGGACAAAGTCTTGGACCGGTAAATGCCTTCGACTTCATGAATTGAGACCACTGCTGAAGCATAAAACACCACGGCGGTCTGTCAAGCATGGATCTAGGGACCTACCCAACATTTAGACCATACAACCCCATACACAACGAAAAATGAATAACATCAACCCGACAAACTATAATTTATACAATTTATATTTATATATATATATATAAATGTTACACCCTAGTTATATCCCAACATGTCTAACCCTATAAACTTCCATCAGCACCACTTTTTCAATGTAAACACCACCGTTCGGGAGATCCAAGTCCAGGTGCCTTACACCTGGACTTGTTGCGCCCGAATCTCACCGTGAACCGAGCCCTAGAAGCTGCCAAAGTCGCAGCGGGCACTGTCTCTTGGCAGTGACACTTTTTTAACCCTGGCGTTGGGTCAAAAATCACCGTAGATTAACGTAGCGAACTGGAAAATCACCATATTCAATAGGTAAATCATCATGAATCCTCTATAAATGCTGCATTTTCCATAGCTATGTTGAATAACTAGAGGGTATTAATGTCCACCTCTGATTTATAAATAGGGCCCCCCCCCACCCCCCTCTTTGACCCTAAATAGACTTAAAGCCACCATCAAACTTGTTTGTATGTAAAGGTTTTCAATTACCACAATTGAAAACGAATACATAAAAAGCAATTTCAAAAAAAAAGGAATCCAGCAATTGTTTTAGTATTGATCTAGTACTCATGTCATGGATTTAGTATTGATCTAGTACTCATGCCATGGATTTAGTATTGATTTAGTATTCATCTCATGGATTTAGTATTGATTTAGTATTCATGTCATGGATTTAGTATTGATTGAGTATTCATTTCATGGATTTAGTATTGATTTAGTATTCATTTCATGGATTTAGTATTGATTTAGTATTCATTTCATGGATTTAGTATTGATTTAGTATTCATTTCTTGATCAGCGGGAGGGGGAAGCTCAGTAGTTTTATTCAGGGTCAAAGTCTAATTGGTGCTAAGGCACCTCATGGGGGGTACCCTTGATGAGTTGATTTGGAGTTGATTTTGGATAAGTTTAAGTAAAGGTTTTGAATAGAAAGAGCATCCATCATGTTTGACAATTTCCAGCTATCATTTTTGAATAAAGGTTTTGGTCAGCCCCATCTGGGCAAATCTGGATTTAGGGCCAAAAAAATTTAGCACTATTCAGGGTAGTTTTATTATTTAGTTTGGGAGTTTGGTTAGCACTATTCAGGGTAGTTTGATAAATCGTAGGTCAGCATTACCTGTGGGAATCGTACTGTATGTGTATGAGCATTATACATTTATTATACATTATATCCAATACTGGATTCCAACATAGCATCCGTTTCATACTCGATAGTATTGAGTTATTGTTGGGGTATAGCACAAACCGTACTTGCGGTGTGCCCTCTGGCCCTATTGCTTTGTTCGTCTATTTTTAGCGAGTATCAATGTCAAATTTGTCAGGTATGTGTTACCTGACTAATTACTTTGATTCTGATAGTAGATGATACGATTCAAGTTTAATGAATATATGTGTTACCTAACTACTTTGGTTGATTCTGATACAAATACTACTTTGAGTCATCAATATACAATTACGTTTCCACTTAATGACTCGATGACCATCCCTTCAGTATGGGCATTTTTTCCGCACATATAGCAATGATGGAAATCAAAAGTGGGATGGTGGGACAAATCCAATAAACCATCCTAAATGTTGGTTTATTATTGAAATAACGCTTGGAGATGGATGGCCATTGTAAGCCCGAATGGTTGGTTATTGCGATCGTTTATTCTGTCTACTGCATTTTAGGAAATGTGGGGGATATGAAGTGGGGCATATGGGGATGTAATCCAGGAAATGATGATTGGTTGATGATCCTAAGGGGTGGTAAAGCAGACATATACAATATACAATACACAATATACATCAATATACAATATACAATATATAATGTATAATATTATTTAATATTTCATATTATATAATATTTCATATAATATATATATATATATATATTATAATATTCAATATTTTACAACATAATATATAATATATGTTTATACTATAATATAATATAATATAATATAATATAATTATAAATAAACATATATATATATATATATACATATAATATTATATGAACATAATAGTATATGAATATAATATTATATATGTATAGTATGGTATCGTATAACATAGTATAACATAATACAATACAATATAGCACAATATAATGTAGTATAATATCATTTAATATGATATAATATAATAAAATTTGTTACAATATAATATAATATAATATGATTTAATTTAATATAATATACTATAATATAATTAAATATAATATAATATAATACAATATAACACAATAGAATATAGTACAACATCATTTAATATGATATAATATAATATAATACACTATAATAGTATAATATATATATATATATATACACATATTACACTGGATAAAATTATTTTTGGTTGATGTCTTGGGGGGCTACTTCAACCCAATATTAAAATGACGATTTTTCATCCTCGCTTCTAATGCCATCATCGGCCATCTTTTGAGGATTCACAAGGTGTGTCAGATCTTGGAAAACCCGGGTGAAGCAGCTTCACAAGGGATATCTTGGAAAACCATAGGAAAACCATTGGAAAATGGAGGTTTACCCTCCGGTAAACTAACATAGCTATTGAAAATGCCAATGTTTAATAGGAAAATCAACTATAAATGGCCATTTTCAATAGCTGCTATGTTAAATTACCAGAGGGTAAGCCCAGTTTACCAACTAGCGACCCCAGAATAAATATAACAGTTGGGAACCCGGAAATTGCGGGGAAAACATAATCATACCATCCTGGAAATACGTGTCTATTCTTTGGGTTGCTATGATGGGTTCATTATTTTCCGTAAATGGTGGATATGGGGTTTTAATTTAATGTTCGTGTTGTGTGTTGTTTGGTTTTGGTTGACTGAGTAAATCCGCTTGGTCAAGGGCATTTGCCACACATGCACTCGCCTGAGCCAAGTGCATCCAGCATCAGTGCACTAGCCTAGCCAGTTGATTTTTGTATGCCTGGTATTTGAGTTTAGCCCAAGTTGAAACCACAAGCGTCTGTGTTTTTTTTTTACAGATACATGCGATGACCAAATATGAAATGATGATAGTATTAGGCAAGTGTTACCTGGTCTAAAAACAGCAGGGTCTTAAGACAAGAACCACGCCTCAGGTTGATGGGTTTCTTGACCACATTTGTGTCAGGTCCTTTTCCATACTTGGTGCATCCCACTTTGTCAATGGATCATAACCATATTGTACCCCAGTACACCCCTAGTTATATATGGCATATTCGGCATATTCCCAGTTATATACAGTTATAAACCACTTACTAACTGAAATGCACATCCAAGTACAACAACCCGCCATTTCTACCCCGTTCTGATCTATGGACCCTGACCCCCTGTCAGCCATCGATATCAGGATCGGGTCTTGGGCTGTTCACCCGAACATTATTACCTGTCCAATGCCTTGCAGGAAAAGAACTCCTTGTGCCTAGAAGAAAAAACATGGGCAGATGTGGGAAATGGGATGTCTCGGACGCAGAATTGGACGCAGTTTCGGACTGAGGAATTTATGGAATTTTGGGTTTTCTTCGCAATTTGGAACTCCCCAAATCCACCCTTAAGATAGTCTAAATATGCAGAGAAGTGGCCAGGTTTGGCCGCAGAGGATTACCCGTGTTCAGAAACAACCAGTTTGCTCTTCGGAATTTCAGAAAGTTTTAGGTTCTTTTTTTTTGGACATGTTAAAACATGTTAAAACCCTTCTTGATTTCAATTCTTGGCATAGCTCCATACTACATAGCTGCATATAGCCGCCATAGCCCTTGTGCCCTTGTTGAAGCCTTCGTTTCCAAATTGGATCATCGGTGCAGCTTGTTGCAGGTGGTCCTTCTACATGGAGAAAGTGGTTCCTGGAACGCTCTTTGACTCCGAAGATCAACTGGCGATTCTTGGAACTGGAGCATTGAGCTACGACATCTTTCCTGGAACTTTTACTGTGGATGATGTCTACATGACCTCACCTTATGGGAATTTCTGGTTGATCCTGCAAAAGAAGCTGAGCAAAGAGAAGCGCAGGATTGGAGAGGTTATGGAGAGGTTATGAAGTGCTCCAGATGTCCTGAGTTTGGGATCTTCCTTTCACGCAAAGTCGACAAAGTTATCAAAAAACAATATGGTCGTGAAAACTCCTGATTCCGGGTTGTTCAATCTGGTTCTGAAGGTTTTGAGAGATGATCATATCTGTCGAATAGCCAGGTGTGGTGTTCAAGTCATCTATATAATATTGTATATACATATGTCAGGAAAATAGGAAAGGTAAAACCACATTCTTGACCAGAGTTCCCCCTGGCATTCCCAATGAACCTGATGAGTCATCACCAATGATATCTCCAATCACATAGATGATATCAACAATGTATACGGGAGAAATGCGCGTGGTTTTACCCACATCCTCTGACTGATCCATTTTGGGCAGAGCTGGAATGCTTCTCTCGTAAATCATGCTTGTTGCCCATACAACAGATATCCCCCCAAAATGGATCATATACATCTCAGATCCCCCAATTTGAATTTAATCTATCTTCTTGCTCATAGATGCTTATAGACTCTACGGTAATCAAACATGGCTCTGGATCCTCAATGATATGGATATATCCCATAGGATCCATGTATGCTATATATGGTAACATTTGCCATCAATATACCCCCAATGTTAGCATATATATATATATATATACCAGCACCATGGATCCTATGGGTATATGGATGATCTTTTCCATTTGCTGTGGATTTCCCAGCCATTTTACCCAGGATTTCAGGAGAAATCCTACAACAACTGATCTCCAAACTGAATGACCCTGCGGATTTCGCTGGCTTGGCATCGCCATTGCGCGGCCGCGGTGAGAGCGGTTTTCGGGTGCCATCCTACGTGAGTTCAAGCGTTCCCAAGCCCGGCAAGACCTACGTGACCCGGTGATGGTCCGTGCTGGGCACAGGGTCTTTGATGGTCATTTTTCAGCGGCGGGGAATGTGATGCGAAAAACATCTGGAAAAACATCGCGCCCATAATGATAGAGTTAGAGGATGTTAGAAGTATGTATATACATTTTTTGGAAGTCCAATCTTCAGTGGTCTAGACTCTCAAAAGTGAATTGGATGATGGGAAACTTGAATCAGAACCCCACACAAAATTTGAGGGTCAAAAATATTGCTTCCTGTAGATGTTTCCTTGACGTTCTGAACATCTGACCTCCTACAACTTGGAAGATCCCAAGTCAAAAATCTTACGCGACGAACGCATATTGTTCCAGGACTCGATGGTGGTTTCGGCAAGTCGCTTTGGACTTTTCTGGATGTGCTGCAGTCAGAATTCCTAGGATATTAGAATCCCAGTATCTTTCTTTTACAACATCCATCACCCCTTGGTGGATTGTTTTCAGCTGCGAAATCAAGCAACCGAACCGCCCAGGATCTGATTTTCTGTGATTTCGATCTGGAACCGATCGTGCAACATTTGAAGGACCTCGTGAAACAGCAGCATTTCGATCCACAGCTCTTCAAACCTGCCATGAATACCTCGAGTGTTTTGGAGGCATGGTTTCAGAAGCAACCTTGCGGTGAGGAAACTTACATCTAGCCGCTCGGCTCCAAGGCGAGTTTCCTCACCAGAGGTGCGTGGAAAGGCCACGCACAGTGCGTGTCAAAGTAAGGGAACTGCGAAAATACCCCCAGATAACAGAAACTAAACACAATAAACACACTTTCAGAGACTGCTTTGTGGCTTTAGCATGCTTTAGCTATGTCCAGATGAATGAATGACCAAGATCCAGCTTCTGATTTTTCCAGTGGTTTCAATGGGCCAAAAGAAGATCAACAAACAGATCCGAAGTTTGACACATTGTGAGATCTTCCGGAGGTCAAATTGTCCTCCATGAGTCTGGATTCACCAGAGATGGGTGGAGCCAACCCGTGTGCAAGTCATGAAATGGGTCAAAATCTTCAGGCGACCCCAGATTGAGTCGAGTTTAGATTAGACATAACTATGACTATAAATCGACGCCATTTGTGGGTCAAGAGATCATCAAATCAATACGATACTGGCACTTGTGACTGGTATGGTGGCCAGTACGTGATGTGATTCTGGACAGTCAGCTTGACCAAGACAGCAAGAGCCTCGACTTGGGTGATTCGGTCGTCCCTCTGCGACAGCAGAAAATGGCTGGGAGGATCTCTGCAGCCTGGATCCCCCAAGTATCAGGGTTACCCGGTAGCTTCAGTAGCTTAGTGTGTTTTTGGAAATGGGGAAATAGACTATGGAATCTATGGAGCCAAGAATAATTTTTTGTTGTTCAACGCCACGCAATTCACAAACCTCTTCCAGGGATTAGTTTGTTGTATCTCCTCCAAAAGATAGTGACGCCGTGACGCTTCAGGATTCTCCTTGGGTGTCACAAACCTCCATGGATTCCATGTGGAGCCATGGAACCTGCTTTGGAAGACTCCCTGTCCTCGCTGGATTTCCTTACCCATAGGATCCATGTATGGTATATATGCTAACATTGGATGTATATTGATGGTAAATGTTACCATATATAGCATACATGGATCCTATGAGTTATGATTGTTTCAAGTGTACATCCCAAAGAGACCTCCTGGTTCAAATCCCTTTTTGTTTGGTCAGTGAAGACAGTTCTCGCCAAGTCCGGTTGCGTCGTTAACCTGTCGTGGTGTGAACCGCACATCCGTTGGTGGTGATGAAAAAAAGAAAACTTCCATGGGCAGAAAATTCATTGGGTAGGAATGGCATGTATCCCCCACTTATGGACGAAGCCAGGTAAGTGAATAGGTAAAAAAACATGTCAACCCTGGATGATTAGATGAAATGACTCTTGGAGGAGTACCTCTAATTTTCATAAACCATGGTTGATGAATCTGGGGTTGACATGATTGGTTTGAAAAGGAGTACGTAGCAATGTAGCAAGTGCCCAAAGTTTCTTGTGCAAACTTCCTGAGTTTCCCGGTACAACTGAGGAGTGCATCACCGAGGGCAACCCTGGTGACGTGCAGGCAGACGGGTAGCTGTGGCACCAGCTTTGTTGCGGTAGGAACATATGCAAATGGTGATCTGATCTTTAGGTGGCACGGTGATGTGTATCTGATTATCAAACATTATGGCACATAATTTTAACAACCAAATATAATATATATATATATAGATATATTATATGTATTTATATATATATGTATATATAGTGATAGATATAGTCTATGATATAGTGTATAGTCATTTCAGCACCCAAAATTGGAAGTGAACATGCATTACCATCAATCATGTCCAGTTTACTGGGAAAATGAGCAGAACGTTCAGGGCGAGAGACAGTGGTAATAATTAAAATCATTGGTATATCATGTTAAGGAGGGAGTCACAGGGAACAAGACTTTGACCTATAGCCATGCGCTGTTGAGATTCCACATCGTTGATACAATCTCATTGATTATCTCAATCAATACTGCATCTACCATTTTTGATCATAAAAATTCTCTATTTTCCCCTTTTAGTGTCCATATACTATCATATATTCTAGAATATGTTTCCATATTTGTCCCCAGATGTTTCCATATATATATAAATATCTATTATATTTTCCATATGTTTCCATATTTTCCCAGATGTTTCCGAATTTGTTTCCATAGGATCACCATATATCAATTTTCAAACCGTAGGCGTTGCGTCAGCAGTTGCATGACCTCAGAGCCGATGCCTTCAGCGAGTCAAAGGAGGTGCGGTACCGGGATAGCACGCCCGGTCGCTGGATGGGGATAGCCATGGAAAATCTCAATATATGGGGATATAATGGAATATTTAACATGGGGATAACATAGATATATTATGGAGATTTAACTAGGCAAAATATGGATACGATCTGGTTATTCAACGTAGCCATGGAAAATCTACCATTTAAATAGGTGAACCATCTATTTCTATGGGCCATTTTCCATGGCTATGTTAGTCATAACCAGATGGTAATAGCTGGAGGTAGCTCAATAGCTGGTTGATTTATAAGGAACATCCGAGAATAAAATGGATGATGAATGCTGGATGATTTGGGGGTACCCCCATATTTCAGACATGAAATGGCGATCAAACATTCAAAAGCTGTTGAATTAGCATATTTGAAGGAAGAACATGGAATAACCATCCAGCTATACCAGCTATGATTTAGGGTCCCTTTTTTTTGGGAGCAGAGTTTTGACCAACCAAAAGTGAGTACACACTTGGTAAACACCTGTTTTTTTTCTGTAAATGTTTAGCTGCTAAAGCTGATAGATCAATTTGCAGAAATCTTTGGAGAAAAGGTACGTCGACACATTCAGCCTCGCACCTTAACAGATCACATCGGAACTGGCCGGTTTTCCGTTTGGATGTACCTGGTAAGTAACCTCGAAAAGGAATAAACAAAAAAACAGAAATTCGGAAAATCCACACCAAGACATTGATAAATTACCCTCCAGTAAATTAACATAGACTCTGGCAGTCATCGGGGTTGGAAGATTAGTTTCCACTAAAAAATTGTCATTTTCAGGGTCCAATTGTTTATTTACCATAGGGCCTAGGGTATTGTTCTACCCGTTTTCAATGGGAATTTCCGGAGTACTGCACCACATAAAGCCATATTTTGCGGGCCTGCGGGCCTGTCCCCTTACATAGCCATGACATAGGCCTTATATATTATAGGTACCTTCAATAAATTGGTTCCTGGAATGGCCATTGACTTTTGTGGGTCAACAAAACTTGACGTCAAGATCCCCAACGCTTGAACATGTTCATCCAGTCTGTCTTGAGAAGGTCAGATTCACTCCATCTGTAGTTTTTGCTTTAGTCCCAACATGTATCGAAATATCTACAAGCTGCTGCCCCCCATATGTTAGGACTATAGCAAATTATATATATATATCATGTGGGTTTATAAAAGATGATAATAGTCGTTATAAAGACAAACTATCTTTGGTTTATAACTATCATGGCGGTGATAAACCGACTTAGCCACTGGGGGCTCCAACATTGTATTGTTTATTACTCCACCATGAACTATAGTTGGATATACCATAAACAAAACCATTCTTGGTAATATTCTCATACTGTTGGTCTGGTGATGTTTTAAAAGACTAAGAATTACATGGAAAATATGAACATATCCACATTCCCATATGCGAACCATGGTGCTGGAATATTTACCGATATTTGCCCTTGCCCAAAATCACACAGTTTTTGTAGGTAAATATACCCCCTTGTAAACCAACAGTTCGCTATGGAAAATCACCATCTTTAATAGGTAAATCAACGAACTAAATGGGCCATGTTCAATAGCAAACTGTTAGTTTATCCATTATCAACCATTATCATAAACCAATGTTAACCATATTAACCATTATAAACCCATATTAACCAATATTTACCAATATTAACCAATATTAGCCAATATTAACCAGAGGGTATACCAGCATCATGGGTTGCATCTGGGATTTCTCGTTGAATTTCAACGTGAACGATGACATCTCGGCCAGGAGCCACCGCGTGGCGCCGACGACACCGAACCCGCGGAAGCGGCTTCCATCAGTGTGAGGCCGCCTCCTAAGGAGCTCCTCTCGGCCCTGGTCCACACTGGTGATGTGAATCTAACCGTTAAATTATAAACCGTTTAACCCATGATATATCCCATAGGATCCATGTATGCTATATATGGTAACATTTGCCATCAATATACCCCCAATGTTAGCATATATACCATACATGGATCCTATGGGTAATATAATATTATATATATATATAATTATAATTCGATATAAATAAATATCATATATATATATATACATATCATATATCTAGCATAAACCATAGGACCATAGGATGCACCTAGTTATGTTCACCAACATAAGTGGCGATGTTGTAAACGTGGTCTCATCCAGTAGGGTGTCCCAAAATTGGTTGGGCTGGAAAGTTGTCCCCAACCTTTGCACAGGGACAGGGGGGATCTTCCTACAGTAGGGATATTTAGATGATTTATCCCAATCAATATCCCTATCTATCATCCGTTATATCCCTATGAATATCCCGTTATATCCCAATGTCTCCCATCGGTTCGGAGCCAAGTCTATCAATTTTAGGATGAGCATAGTTGGGTCGGAGCCAATGTTTTTATTGCTGCCTCCGAGGCAGGGTCGTAGGGAGATGGGTACGAGACGATGTTTCTTTGTGTATAAGACCAGGAAAACCAGTTTGACATATATATTACAGTCATGGCCCTTAACAGTTACAAATGGGTTTATAATGATATATAACCTTTGTTATAGGCTATAGGAATTATAATTCCATTTATAACTGTTAAGGGCCCTAAGTGTATATATAAGCCCTGGTTATCAGGTTATCTTTTGCTTAAAGCCAAGATAGCCAACTTAGAAACCACCTTGTGAGGAGAACATGTGTGAAATGCGGAAGACTTCTCTCGGAAGTATATCAGCATGTCGTTCTCTTTTCAAGTGTGCAAATCCGCAATGGTGAAATACATGTATGGTCACTGACAGAATTATGGAAAAAAAAACGTTCAACTTAGACAGGCGGCGCCTGCGTCCGATTTTTCCATAATTAGGTTTTTCCCCATAAGGGTTCAAAATATCCCGGAAGTGATCCGAACCTTTTTTTTTCCATAATTCTTGGAGGTGGCCATTATTTCCATAATTGATTTTTCCTGTAAAATCAGGGGGCTAGGGCAGATTGACCGGTTTTTCCATAATTATTTTTTTCCATAATTATTTTTTCCATAATTATTTTTTCCATGTTTGGGGCTCCACCTGTTGGACATGTCATGGATCCACAATTCAAACCCCTTTTTTTTGGGGGTTATGGAAATATGTATGCAAATACACAGATTTTCTATAATTCAATATTCCCCCTTAAAATGCATTCAAATTGCGAATCGATGGACATACAGTCACCGACAGAATTATGGAAAAAAAAATAATTATGGAAAAAAACATATGGAAAAAAAAAGGTTCGTAACTTTTCTATCATAGACAGGCGGCGCCTGTAAATTGAAACGTTTTTTTTTTCCATAATTCTGTCGGTTCCTGTATGTGTATATGTATATATATATATATATTATGCATATATATATATACATAATAATATATTATAATATATATATATATATTATACACATATGTTTATGTTTATTACGTGGTCATGAAAGCTCATGATGGTGTTGATGGACGTCACATTTATAACCTGAAAAGCCCAAGTCCTGTTGGGTCCAGGAGGAACTTGAGGCAGCCTTGGCCGCATCCACTGAGCGAATGGACATGGTGGGGACGACTGGAGGGACATAAGATGGGGACACCCCAAAGATGCCTTGGCTGAACAAGGATCAATAGGGTCATGGTGTAGTTCTCATATGTTATAATAGTATAGTTAGATGGAGTTATGATTAACTTCTTATTGGTAGTTCATATTGTTATAGTCTATATGGAGTTAGAAAGCAACTTAATTAACTGAGAGCGCCACATGGTAAAGACGAAGAATTATTATCGTGCCATCATGGTTAAGTATTGCCAGAATATGGATTTGGTACCTTGCCAAATCAGTTGATAATCGTTGTACAGGGATCACGTTGGGTGATAGAAACAAGCACTTGACCCAGCTAAGGTATGAGTTTGCATAAACGTACCACTTGATACTCAGATAGCAGTCAGAGCAGTAATTGTTTATGATCCCGTTCGTTCAATTGCGTTGATCGCGTAGGGCGGCGTAGGGTTCTTAATAGCCATAGGAACAGCGAGGGACTGCCAGCTTATTTTTTGGTGTGAAGGGCAGGATATCACAGTTTCTCTATCCCTTTTAGCCTGGTGGAATTGATTTAGTCAGATAATACGTATTACTATTTACGCGCGCACACACACACACTATTTGCATTATTGTTTTTTCTTGCCATTGCATTTCTTTCAAGGCGGTGCTTTCTGTAGTGTTTCAGAAGTGGTTTTTGAGTTGTAAGCGGCTCATAGCGCCTTGACGCTGGAAGGCTTGAAGGAATAGTCGGAATAGGGCCACCGGAAATGCCCACGGAACATCCACCAACGGGTGGCTTTAAAGCTTTTTCTGATTTTCCATCTCAGTATTCGATCAAGACAGACTATCTGACTATCTGGTTGGAGGGTTTTAAGATGTATTGCAGTTCAAGCATAATTACCCTCTGGTAATTTAACAGTTCGCCATTGAACATGACCAATAGATATTTCCTGGATTTTCCCATTGATAGCATGGTGATTTTCCCATCAGTTTTTTGTAAACGTTTACCAGGCCGGGTACTTGGGATGATTGGTTGAGATGAATGGGGGATGGCTTGGGATAGCTGGATAGCTTGCTCCTCAAGCCTCTGAGATTTGATCCCCAAAGGCCCGGCAAATCGTTGGACCAATTTTTTCCTCCAAAGTCATTGGACCCAAAAATTGAAAAAAACACAGGAAGATCAGCTGGTAATTGTAGGTATACTCCTTGAAGGATGTGTGAAAAAATGTTGTTCCCGGAGGACCAGGGGACCATGACAGCTACAGAATTCTACATTATTCTACTAGGTATATCAATTTATCACCAAGTATCACCAAGTATTCTGGTAAATGCAAAGCATATATATTACATTCTTCTCCACTGCGCCAAATCACCCCCTCCTTTCTCTTCTTGCCTTTCTTCGCCGATTTGGAAGGGAAAATTGACAAGAAACCTGGCATGACTGCAACCATGGACTTCCCATGTTCTAAACCAATGCATTTATATATTCCTTCCATGGTGTACCCCGTATGGAATGCATGAAATCCACATTTTTGTTCAATGTTCATGAGATTTTTTCTGACGCAGGTCAAGAGTTTGGGTGCAGATTTGTTGTCCCAGTTGGAGGCGAGCTGGAGAGTCAGGATGAGTTAAATGCTTTTCGAATTCTCTGGTGATTTTTCGTGGTTTTTGTAGATTTAGTGGGTTTTTGTTGGGATTTCGTTGGATTCTGTGGGATGTTTTTAGGGATTCGGATTGTGGGATTTACTGATTCAGCGGAATTCATGTTGAATTTCGAGTGGGATTTCATGGTGTTACTGGTACGGATTTAAGCAACACAGACACACATGGGGATTGATATAGGATTAATCTGGTAGATCTAGGAAATTACACAGAGATTTTTCGGAAACAAAACACCAGTATATCCCAGTATATCCCAGTCACACACACGGATTTAATCTAACATAATGGGGATATTATAGAATGGAAGTTACGATCTGGTAGATTAACATAGCTATGATACGCTATGATGCTGTGGGAAATTGCCAAATTGCCCGTTTGTAGATGACAAACACCTACAAACAATATTGTTCTTCCAGAACTTGATAGTGGTTCAATATTGGTTTAACCAACGCAGCAATTATTAGTTGACTACATTGGTTTGATGATTTTTGATGATTTTGATGTTATTCCAATATCGCTATTTTCATCCAATTTCAATGGGTACGTTGGTTTGTGTAATATGAATATTTAACCCACCATTCATTGGAGGGGTGATTTGCCAATGTCAGATCCGGACTGATGATCTTCAAGCCCATTGAATCAGATAAGAAATGGCTGGGTTAAATATCCCATGTAAAGAATAGTAAAGTCCCAAGATTTTCTCAAATATAAGTCACATTTTTTCAGAAATATAAGAATAGTATAGTCAAGTCCTGTTTGCAAAATCTCATGCCAAATCAAGCCTTGGCATCCAGCCCAGGCGGTGTTCAGTTCCCAAGAGGACCGTGGAGATCTGGCTTCGGCCGTGATGAACGTGGTGGAGAGGTTCGCTGACCAGTTCTAGGATTATATATATATATATATCCCATATGCTCAAAGTATGGCATGGTATATATATATATATATATACGTATATATAATTAGATATAGAGCTACAAAACTGGGCAATTTTTATGGCACATGTTTTCAATGTTGGTAAATAGCCAGAAGCACCATGCTTCGCCACCATGATGTGAATGGATCTTCCGGATTGCTCCAATCCATCGTAGGTCGATTCTAGCCATTTGACCATATTTGAATCGGGAGTGTTGGGAGCAACCTTGATATAGGTTAGCTTGTTTCATAGTTTATAAACTGCTATTAGCCTCTGGTTATTTATATAACATAGCCATGGAAAATAAAAGGCCCATAGAAATAGATAGTTTACATATTAAAAATGGTGATTTTCTATAGCCACGTTAAATAACCAGAGGGTAACTATAGCTATAACTGCCATAAGTCCCCTAGTTATTGGAGTTATAATTCAACTTAGCTATTTTCAGGGCTCTACCTTGTAGACACCATGGTAGATTTATACCCTGCGGTGTCATCAAACATGGTGAGAAATCTCCGAACTAAATGGAGGTTGTGATGGGAAAATTATCGAACTAAATCATTTAGTGTATTTTCCCACTGGTTGTGATGGTATTTTCCCAAATGGTTATACAACTAGTGTATTTCCTAAAATTATCAAAGTCTATCCACTATTGTGTATTTTCCATTTCCGACTTTGATTACCAGAATCATCAAACTGAAGTGGATAGACTGTGGGATGTTCAAACACATTCTCATGACATCCTGAGTTTTTGTTGAAAGTTCCATACAAGGTGAGGCCCCCAAGATAGCTAAGTTGGTTTATAACTCCAATAACTGTGGTTTATGGTATTTATAACTATAGTTACTGGGGCTTAAAAACCAACTTATATCTTGGGGGCCTCACATTGTATGAATCCATATGACAAACATATTCCAATCCATACTCCAGCGTGCCTAAACAAACATCCGTGCCATGGTCTAAAGATTATCTAAAGTGTCCAAAGTTGGACTAGATTAACCCCAGTTTTTGCACAGTGCTACCTATGGTTTGCGAAATAATTGCCAATCATCTAAACTTAATGACCACATGAGAAACATGGTGCTGGTATATTTACATACCATAACTGGATGATTTTCGAGGTAGATATGGGCAAAATTTCCCTAACCATGGGACATATGAGTAGTATGAAAAAGGACATATTCTATGATTACATGTGTTTTTTCTTTCTTTTCAGATCTATACTACAGTCTGATGGAACGAGATACCCTCTAGTTATTTAACAGTTTGCCATGGTATAGATGGCCCATAGAAATAGAATGGCCCTAATCGAAATAGATGGTTTACCGTTCTTACTAGCATGGTGATGGCTTCCATGGTAAACTGTGAATGTCATTTCACCAGATGGTAATAGTGTTTCATAGGAATATGAGTCATATTAGTGATATTACTACTATTGATATATTACTATTGATATTACTATTGATTATACATACTAATAGTCATATCAATAGTAATATCAATAGTCATATCAATAGTTTTGTATCAATAATAGTCATATATGATAATCATTATTGATATATAGAATATATAGTAATATCATGTAATATCAATAGATGAATGATCAATAGTTTTGTATCATTGCCATGCTGCTAATCACACAGATGGATCTCATGGATTCCCTCCAAAGATTCCACTCAGCTCCGCGAGCGGCTCGCTCCGCTATCGCCAGTCGTTTTTCGAGCATATCTACGCATTAATATCTTAATTCAATGGGAGATCTCCAGGATCCAAAAATGGATTGGAGGTACTGTACTAACTTAGTACCATGTTTTTCTGGCCATATGAATTCTGGGGATATTCCCTGAAATTTAGGCCTGAAACATAGGCCTTATATAGGGTAGGTACCTCCAATCGAGGATCCTGAAATGGCCATTGATGAAACATGTTTGCTTTATGTGTTGGTCTCAAACGGCTGGAAATATAGTGACCCACATTCAATGTTCTACCCTCTGGTAAACTAACATAACTATGGAAAATCACCATTTTTAATGGGAAAATCCACTATAAATGGTCATTTTCAATAGCTATGTTAAATTACGGGAGGGTATCCCACCGTAAATGGTTTGAAAAGACACATCCCATGACATGGTATACTTATGGCCCATGGCGACAGGTGGCGCGGACAATTGCCACGTTCGCACGAGGCGACAGCTCCCGGTAACACAATGGTAACACCATGGTGTTTTAATCATTTTAATCGGTACATCGGTGATTCAAATGGAAATATGATGATGGGATATATTCATATATATATATATATTGTTGTGTTAATAACTAGATTGAACGGGATATGTAGGACCCATTGGGATGAACATGATGGTTTGATGTTGGCTTGATAGGAATTTCACCCAAACCAGGCTTAAACGGTTTAACATATGACAACTTCATCAACCAACGTGGCAAGCTGGGAACTCCCCGAACATGGAGGTGTTAAAGGTTAAACATATGGGAAAAAACATCTATCAATAACTGGCAGATGTTCCATTGCCGTGGTTGACAACCGGAGGGTCACTGTCCAAACTCTTCAGTTTATTCGTAATTGTTTTAGTGCTACGTATCATGTATCATAACATATCTACATGTAATGTTCATGCATCTCGGGTATTGTTGGGTAATTGCCTGGCAATTCAGGAATTATCACTATGATATGTATAATTCTGTAGTATATAAATATTCAAATGAACATCCCATCATATCCGGCAATGGATGCGTGTTGCCGGGTAATTTGGTATCCACAATGTCACCTTCACTTGTCAGGCACTTTTTTCGGAGGCTATGAAGCAATTATTCATGTCCTCCTCACATACTTATATTATCATATTTAGCGTGATGGGTATTGAAAGCAGCGAGAATGGAGACTTTGCCAATCAAGACGAGATTTCGCCAAGAAAAAATGAGATCAATCCCGGCAGAAGTGGGGTTTTAACTAACCAAGAAAAATATGAGTTAGTTACTACCCTTGGTTGGTTAATGGTGGTTTTAGCACATTTTTAACTACCATCTGATTATTTAACATAGCCATGGAAAATCCCCATTTTTAATAGGTAAACCATCTAACCAAGAAGTGGGGTAAACCAATGGCTTGGAGTTCCCAAAAGTTGTCGAAGAAACGGCCATATTCCCCACCGAAGGAACGAAGATATATCTGGTTGGTGGTGACTGGAACCATGGAATTTTATGACTTTCCATTCAGTTGGGAATTTCATCATTCCAGCTGACGAACTCATATTTTTCAGAGGGGTTGAAACCACCAACCAGATATATACAGAACACCCTTATGAGCAACCGACAAATTGCAATACTAATTTAGTCTTGCTTCGCCTCGGCCTTTCGGGGGTTGCACAAGACCTTCATATATAACCGATAGGGGACGACCCTATACCGATACCCCATTTTTGTGATGCCTCCGGGAATACTGAAATCCTGACAACCGAAAGGGTACGACCCTAATTTGTGCATGGCATTAGATTTAACATATAAATAAATTTGTCTACTAGTATAAATAATATATAAATACATAGAATAACAATTACGAGTCAACGCGCACCATCATTGCTTTCATCCAGACCCATGATGCATGGATATCGGTGCATGGCATGGATGGCCTTCCCTCGTCAACTGTGAGGCGTCAGTGCCCAGTGACATGTACATGGAACACATGGGTGCTGCCTGTGAAGATGCAGTAAAGGCGCTGGTGATGTTTCACAACTGGTGAAGGATTGGTTAATGGACTCATTGCTCACTATTGACCCCAAGTTATCATCCAGGCTATTCTTCAATTCAATGAGAAAGCCCATATGTTCCTTGGATTCTTTCCTGATTCCTGGCCCCGGGTGAGCTGACCATGGAAAAAATGATCAGTCAGTCAGTGTGCAGTACTTTGGTTGCTGGCAACGAACTGATTTTGTAGATGACATTAGTATTGGGTGATATCATATATTATATATACCATATATTGTAATATAATAATAATTATTATAATAATGTATTGGGCTATACTGTTATGTATAACATGTCATAGTATCTATGTACCATTCATGCAACATCAGTGTGAGATTCCCTCACCTTAACCCAGTGACTTAGTTTTTTGGCAGCAGGAAAATAGAGAAACCATCGAGTACACTAAAGTAGAAGCTGATAAGCTATGGTTGTGCCCTTTCAGCAGCAACAATGTGGGTGGCAACAGCAACAAGTACGAAGTTCTTCAACCAATATTTGGGATTTGACAAAGTCCATTGTCACGTAACATCGGATCGATTTTCAGGAAAATGTCACCCGATAGTTGATACATTTTTTGAGGTTCCCCAATTATAAGTTGGTTTATAAATTCGTTATTACATGAGTTCGATGTATTCTACCATAAAACCACAGGATTCACCTATAGTAACAAACCATCTTAGCTTATCTTATCATAAATCAGCTATAAATCCCATGAGTTTCCCGTGTTTGCCGGCTAAATCACCATTTTCCACAGGTTTCCTAACCCATAGGATCCATGTATGGTATATATGCTAACATTGGGGGTATATTGATGGTAAATGTTACCATATATAGCATACATGGATCCTATGGGTAAGGGTTTTCTTTATCGTTTTCCTATCCTCCCGGGGTTCGACAGCACAGGCTGTCGACGAGTCCGATGTCAACGCGCGGCGCGCCTTCATGGCGGCGTACCGGGAACGCATGTCGGCTGCCTCACAGGAGCGGATGGGGAAGGGCGTTGAATGGATACCATCTGGTAAACTAAGATAGCTGGTTGGTGGTTTGGAACAGATTTTCCCATATATTGGGAATTTCATCATCCCAACTGACGAACTCATATTTTTCAGAGGGGTAGGTATACCACCAACCAGCTATTGAAAATGGTGATTCTCCATAGTTTTGTTGGTTTACCAGAGGGTATGGTTGGGTTTGTTTCCCTGTCAGACCAGGTGAGGGTCTCAGAAACTCAGAATATTGCTCTGGGGATCATGATTTGGCTGATTCTCCCAATGGGAAATCCACCAATGACTGGGGAACATTGATTTTTGGCAAATATTTTGTATATTTGTTGGTTTTTTTTTGGCTCCAAGAAAGTCATGGGATTGATCCCAGAAAAAGTCCAACCTCGTGTGGGGTTTCCATGGTGGATGGAGATTCCCAGAGAATTGAGACCATAGAGGTTGGGGCTGTTTAATATTGGGACAGGATGAGAAGGAATCAACATCGGGTTTTTTTCGGATTAAACCATGCTGATGGGCGAAAATACGATCGCAGTTAATGGGGATCTAATGGATAAAAATAGGAGATGAAGGCATGATGGGAGATGTTTCGCCCGTATTTTCGCCCGTATTTACACTCTGGTAAACTAACATAGCTATTGAAAATGGCCATTTATAGTGGATTTTCCCATTAAAAATAGTGATTTTCCATAGCCATGCTAGTTTACCAGAGGGTATTCTGGATTCAAAGTAATTGGAGGATATGTTTGGGGTGATGTATGGTAGGTGAAGTTTGTTGGCAAATATACCATCGAAATCTAGCCCAATGTTTGGGGAACATGTATCTACCTTGAATGCCCAAAATAGCTCCATGGATCTCCATGGTGCATTTACCCCGAAGCATATTTAACTCATGCTGGTATATTTACTTTTACATAACTGAGTGATTTGTTGGGGTTTTGGCAGAATTGGAGTGATTAAGGCTCATGAAAATGGGGATGTTGGTGTCCATGGGTTTATGAAGGTCTGTGAAAACTTGCTGGTTACCGTTCAAGATGGAGACAGTATAAGATGGAGCTGGAAAGAAACACCTGAAAATCATGAAGATTGAGGTATGAAGCAAGAATCACCGGGTGGGGTGAACCACCATGAAAACGTGGATTGGAACGGTGTAGAAAAAATGGGATTATGTTTCGTAATCAAAGATGGGGCTGTAAGGACCGATCTGGATTCTAAAGATCATTGGGGTGATGATGGGGACGTACATTCTGGGAAGTGTGGATGGCCATTGTTCCGGGATGCATTTGGCTAAACCCACTGGGATTCAGGATTTCTTTGGGTCAGAAAATGGGTACCCCTAAATCCATTGGTTCACTGGTTGGTGGTGACTGAAACCATGGAATTTTATGACTTTCCATTCAGTTGGGAATTTCATCATCTCTACTGACTTTCACTCAGATTTTTCAGAGGGGTTGGTTGAAACCACCAACCAGATCATCGTTTACCTTTGAAATTGCCATAACCAGGGGTATCTCAGAGTCAATCCCCTATTGACCCATGGGACAAATCACGGTAACATTCCTAATTTTGATGGTTAAATCCGATTCTTGATGGTAAAATAAGAGTAACAAATTGGATGGTTAACCCCCTGTTTTAGATGGTCAAAACATGTCAAAACCTAATTTTTATGGTTATATAATATATCCTTATTTTAGATGCTTAAAACCTGATTTTGGATTGTAAAACCCCGATGTTTCTTGATTTTGATTTGTGTCTCAAATGATTCGTTTGGGCAGTAGACCAGGATGATCAGGATATGTCTAATTTAGCAGGATATGGATACATATCGTGTTACACATCATAGTGTGGAAGAAATTTCGCTCCAGTTGGTAGATGGTTTATGTCATTAATATTCATGAATTATATTTCTCAATATTTTACAGAGTTTCATAGTTGCCTAATAGTGACCAACTGGTGCAGGATTTCTTCCATCCACAGTATGTTGGGATGTATTAGGAGTATAATTGCACTATGTTCTATGTGGAGGAAAGGGAGATTGCGCAAAAACGGGGGAAAAAAGGCTTTTGGAAAACGAGTACGTATTAATTAATTAAGAATGTGTATATTGTGTGTATGTATTTTCTACATATTATTACATATTTATACATGTATTTATAGTTATTTTTATGTACACATACATATTTAAGCCATGTCCTATCCGTAGGAATGTGTTGTTTTCACTAATTGCTATGAAGGCCCCAGCACTTCAAGGGGGCATCCAACTCCCTGAAATTGACTCTCTGTAGAAATGCTGGATATTCTCTGTCAGGCAACTTATTAATAGTATGTGTTCAACGACTTTGCTGGAGCTTTTCCTGGGATGGTTGTGTGAAATCTGGAAGTCACGAGAAAACCAATGCCAACTCTATACATCTCTAACCCATAGGATCCATATATGGTATATATGCTAACATTGGGGGTATATTGATGGTAAGTGTTACCATATATATATATATACCATACATTACCATACATTACCATACATTACCATACATGGATCCGTCATGGGTAATAGACTCTGTATCTCTATACTATCTCCGCCTAAAGCTCTTGTTGAGCTCGAATCTCGGTGCCTGTGGATCCCATGGATCCCTGTGGATCCCATCCAGGCAACACAAGTGCAAGCGGAACGAGAAGAAGAGGAGCGCACTGCCGCACTGCCGCAGAGCGCGCGCCGTAAGTTGGCACCGTAAGGACTTGCCGCAAAGCCACAAATGACTAACAGTTTAAGCGAACTTGAAAATGGCCCATGCATAGAAATAGTTGATTATAGTTGATTTACTTATTAAAGATGGTGATTTTCCATAGTTATGTAAACGTTTACCAGGCCGGGTAACATCGTTTTTTTTCCCAGACTGAAGCAGCATGAAAAACCCGTTACAGGGCCCGATTCTGGCCCTGTTTCCTGGGACATGTTTCATTAGGACAGTGTTGGGATCTGATGGACGCCCATTGGAATGTGATTTTGAAGTTTGGTAATACTTTCATAGAATGTGCGGCCCACCAGTTATAAGTTGGTTTATAAGCCCCAGTAACTATAGTTATAAGTACCATAAACCATAGTCTTGTTGGTGGTTTGGAACACGAATTTTATGTTCCATTTCATATATGGGATGTCATCCTTCCCATTGACTTTCATATTTTTTCAAGACGATTGAAACCACCAACCAGTTCACATACTTTCATACTGTATGATACTGCTACCCAGCAATTTTGTGGACGCTTAAATAGCCTGCTTAGCCTGCTTTTCCGTTAGAGGTATTGAAGCGATAATCTCAATTCAGTTCCGATTGGGTTACTTGGAACTTGGTACCAACTGCTTTGGAGCCTGGTTTTTTGAGTTCATACCCCCATGACGAGCGGCACGAGCGAGAAAGTTCCAACATATTTTTGGATCTAGTTGGATCCCCACTAAAAACATCTAAAGTGCTCTGTGCTTCTGTGCTGTTTACCCACCATTTGAAAATGGCTTGAAACCATCCCACCTTGATGAATCTGCCAGGGCCTCCGTGCCCGTGCTGCCGCACGGCGTAAGCGCAGAGCACAACAACGAGCGGAGGCACGGGGCGCCATGGTTCCAGCATTCAGCACGGGAATGTGAGCTGTAAATCATGATTTAAGCCTCAGACATTGAGATTTTCTACCAGAAATGGGAGCATGATATTATTTCTGACCTAACCTTGGGGAAACACCAGAAACCCGAGGATGTGAATCAAATCAACATCAGGGCAAAAATAGACTTCTTCGCAGGGCAAAAATAAGGGTTGCCGATGTTTCCCAGAGATCGACAGATCGAGTCTTCATTTTTCTGCAGAAAAAAAATACATAGAAAAATTACCCTCTGGGAATTTAACATAGCTATTGAAAATCACCATTTATAGTGGATTTTCCCATTAAAAACTGGGTTACCGGGTGGTGCTCTTTTTGACTTTTTTATTTCATTGCCATTGTTGCCATCTTGCCCGCTGACACTGGTGCCATTTTGCTCCCGGGAATGTCTGGCAGTTAGGGCGGTAGCAGTTCGACAATGCCAGGTCATGTGAGAAGCCGCGCCTGAGAATTACCTGTGTTCACCTTTGGCGAAAACAGAAAAGCATAGAAACGCTGAGAAATGAAGGGGGGGTGGAAAACCAAAAAAAAGAGTTCACTTTTTCCCTCTTGTAAACTCAGCAACTCAGAAAATGGTGATTTTCCATAGCTATGTTAAATTACTAGAGGGTAGACAGATATAGAAACAACATAGAAGAAGATGGTAAAACATTCTAAACCATAGAAAAACATAACATAGAAAAACATCGTAAAACAGTCCTCTTATTCTTGAGGGGTGCCACATGAAGAGTGCCCTGTAACAAGCCTATAAAAACTTGATAGCAGATGGACAGCATGAATCCAGCAGCCATTTATGATGTGAATTCTTTGTGGGGAGCAACCCTGATAAACAGTTCAGTTATACAATGTTTTGTACAGTTCTATGCAGTTCTACATGTATATTATGTTAATATTGTCAGTGTTAAAAAATGTTAATTACCTATAATTTTAAACATCAACCAATTGAGCTCTGACAAGGTCCCCATCATGCCATCTCTGGGAAGAGCAAAGGCGGAGTCGCCTTCAAAAACAACTTCCACTTCGCCCTCGCGTTTCTCACGCAAATCGGTACGTTCCCGCTGCCCACGGGGTCCGAGTGGGTTCCTGATAGCTGCACAGGTGTATCCATGAGATTCCAGGAGTGCTATATGTTTATACCTACATGTGGGCCATGTTTTTGGAATGTTTTGGATACATGTTGGTAGCTATTCCATACATGGAGCGTTTAAGGCGTCGGTTAGAACTGCTTTCCTTTGGGTTCGTGGCCCGCGCAGCACACAACGCTATTCTTATCATCAGTCGTTGGGATGTGTGGTCCAGTTCCTCCCGACTCTCGAATGGACCAAGCGGCAAGGAGTTCTCCAGCTTGTTAAATGTCTTTCCAGCAACCACAAATTCTTAAGCAACTGAATCTCAAATTTATGCTCAAAGAGGGTGACTTTAGTACTCTACATTTCCCAGGTTTCATATAGAATACCAGGTCATCACAGCCCCATATAAAGGTACTGATATATATATATAATTATATATATAATTATATATGTATATAAATATATATATATAAATATGAGTAATACGTGTCATACACATCAACTGCAGGGAGCCGGTTTGGCTCGTCGTGATCCAACAGGTCAGACGCTCATTCCCTCAACGGACTCAATGGACGCAACGGTTTTTATCCGCTTCCCGGGCAAACAAAATTAGGTGAAATTGTTGGTGTGTGATAATTGTATTTGGTTGGTGGTTTGGAACATGAATTTTATTTTTCCATAATATATAATTATATGGGATGTCATCCTTCCCATTGCCGAAGTCATATTTTTCAAGATGGTTATTGCACCACCAACCAGTGATAATTGTATGGGATGGTGACTATGAATGATGGCATGGCATTTTTACCAATCTTTACCATACAGAAAAAAATGTGTACATTGTACTGATTGGATCTGACTCTACCTGTTTTTTTTGATTGTTGATGCTCAACAAAAAGCTAGGGATTCTCATAGGGGATCAGGCCCTCGCTGGCTCAAGCAGCGAGACAGCAATGTTCCATGGATGAGAGTAAAGGAACATGTTTGTTTTCAACACAATACAAATCAGACCTGACATGAGGGAATACATTTGATATGGGTCAAGGTTCACAGTCAAATCACTCAACCTTGCATTCAAGAATTGGTTGGTTTTCAGTTTTGAGCAATCGACAGGGGTACACAACCAGCCAGACATTTGATTCCACATGCGGCATGGTGACTTTGCGACCGGAAGGTCAGGAGCTGAGTATGTCAGAGCTAGGTGAATTGATGCTACTTTTTGGCTTAGTTTTGTGCCATGGTCAAAACATTTAACCATAAAACATTGGGGATGAAGTGTTTTGTGTTTTTTTTTATGGAGGCATAATAGGAGATACTCTCTGGTAAACTAACATATTTGTGGAAAATCACCATTTTCAACGGTAAATCCACGAAGTAAATGGGCAATTTTCAAGTTCGCAAACTGTTAGTCATTACCAGAGGGCATTAATATATACATATGTGGGGGGTTCCTAAAATAGGGGTACCCCCAAATCATCCATTTTAGTAGGATTTTCCATTATAAACCATCCATTTTGGGGTACCCCCATTTATGGAAATCCCCATGTATACTCAGAAATTGGATGATATCTCCATCTTGGGGATGGGAAAATCAATCGATTTTCACAGGATTTCATGGGATTCCCATGGGACACCCCTTTGCCACCCACGCCCTTCATCCCACGTGTTTTTCCTGCTGGTGGCTAGTTGTGTCTTTTTTGTAAACCGAAAGCCTCTAAATCCCTCAAATCTACCCATTGAAAATCATGTGAATTGGTATCTGACCTATAACTTACACCCCCAATTGACTTTGTGTTGGTGTTGTTGATGCCCAGTGTTTAGAGTTCTTATTCCAACGATGGGCCTAGGCCGGCGCAGAAGTCGTCAATCCAAGGTGGGCTGGGCCCTTGGGCTGGGCGGAGAAATCACTGGAATCGGATCTGGATGGTCGATTCCTACGTGGAGAAACTTTGGCTCATCCCATGTCCCTTTTCTCCCAAGTTTTTTGCTTCAAACAAAATGTGACAAAAACTAGGCCCTACAATGTGAGGCCCCCGTTGGATAGCTAAGTTGGTTCAAAAAACTCCAATAACTATGGTTTATGGTATTTATAACTATAGTTACTGGGGCGAATCTAAACCAACTTATATCTTGGGGGCCTCACATTGTAGGCGTTTGCAAAGCGGACATGGCTTTCAGTTCCAGGCTGGAGCCGCCATCGTGGGTGTCCTCGCACTTTCTGTGGCTTGCCGAAAAAGCTCCGTGAGAGGGTGGTGAGAAAGTTGCCGTGGGAAGGCTTCAAAATTATACCCACTTGTAATCAAACGCGGCAATGGAAAATCTGTGATAAATGGAGGTGTGAAGGGGAAAATCAACTATCAATTGACTATCAATGGTATATTTTCCATCGCCATGTTTGAATTTCAAGGGATACCCCCAAAAACAAAAGCTTAAAAGTTGAAATTCACTCGAAGGTTTGCGCCAAGGTACTTTCTCGTTTGTGGTCTTGCTCAGGTCAAGTGTCTGTCTCAAGGATCCCCATTGAAACACGACGGACGACGAAAGACGACGAAGAGAAAAAAACGAGCAAAAGGGTTTCAATTGTTCCTCTACGGGACCTCCGGGGGAAGAAATTCCAAGGGGTCCTCTCCGGGACCTCCGGGGAGAAAAATAAATAAAATAACAAATTAAGACGGGCACATACCATTGAGAAAAACACATAGCATGTTTTATGCATATTTGCAATGTTCGGTCGCAAGTGTTCTTCCCCGGGGTATGGGTTTGTCTCCGGGATTTTATTTATTTTATTTTATTTTTTGCAGCCTTGAGCGCGAGCCTTCACTGTGGGAAAACACTTGGCCCTGAGAAGTCCTTCGAATATGGGAAAGTTTTCCAGGAATACGGCTGGGAAAGCAGGACCTTTGAAGAGGGGAAAAAGAAAGCACCTTTGATACAGGGAGGAGGGTTGAGACAGGCACATGCCATTGAGAAGGTTGAAAACCCTTCATCCAGACTTTTGATTCACCATTGTTTACCAGAACATACCAGAACCAGCTAGCTATCTTCTAGTCATCGATTCGTTCGCATGATGTGCCTGGTGCAAAAAACAGCACAGCTTGGGGGAGTTGTAGCATCTCTGTGCCAGGTTTCTGCTTGGTTCCCCATGGTTCCCCATATCTTTTTGACGCTTCTCTCCCCTGGATATTTAAGGGAGAAAACTTGGCCGATGCTCCCGTTACTAACGTCATCCTCTCCAGCCGTTTTTGACCAAGGCCTATGGAGTCTCCTCGCAGGCGTGACTCTGGGAGATCCACCGACAAAAGGAGCCTGAATTCAGGGTAGTGAAGTATTACCCTCTGGTAAACTAACGTAACTATGGAAAATCACCATGTTTAATGGGTAAATCCACTATAAATGGCCATTTTCAATAGCTATGTTAAATTACCAGAGGGTACCCAGATTTATACTGGTTGGTGGTTTCAAACATGAATTTTATTGAATTTTATTTTCCATACCAGTAGTACCGCACAAGGCGGTGGCGGAAGTTTCAAAAATAGGAAACCTATAGGAGAAGTTGGTTGTTGTGAATCAGGGATGGCAGAGCGAAGCCACTGATTGACCGAAAGGTGGTTGGAGTTGTGTTTGCTGGAATGGTTGCAATGGTTGCAGTGGTCATCCTCACCCACAACTGCTGGATGTAGTGTGATGTACTGCAACTGTAGTTGTAGTTGTAGCGTAGTGGAGTTGTAGTTGTGGTGTAATGTAATTAGTGTAGTGTAGTTGCAGTCATATGGTTGTAGCTGTAGTTGTTTTGTAGTTGTAGTTGTAGTAGTTGTAGTTGTAGTTGTTGTGTGGTTGTAGTTGTTGTGTAGTGTAGTAGTAGTAGTAGTAGCAGCAGTAGTAGTAGTAGTTGTTGTTGTTGTTGCTGTTGCTGTTGCTGTTGCTGTTGCTGTTGTCGTCGAAGTTAGGGTAGTTAAGTTAGTGAAGTTAGTTAAGTTAGTCAAGTTAGTTAAGTTGATCAGTGTCTACTTTTTCGACATCTTCACGTCAAAAAAGGCTCAAAACCCTCAGTTTTTTACACTTTTAACTTCGAAATGTGCTTCGCGCCACAACGGCGTGCACTTTTTCGACACTTTTTCGACATCTGAACCTCCAAAAAGTGGTCCGAGACCGTCAGTTTTTAACACTTTTGACTTGGAAATGTGCTTCGCGCCACAACGGCGTGCACTTTTTCGACATCTCAACTTCCAAACGTGGTCCGAAGCTGAGGTGTTTTGTACATTTTGACTTGGAAATGTGCTTCGCGCCACAACGGCGTGCACTTTTTCGACATCTCAACTTCCAAAAGTGGTCCGAAGCTGAGGTGTTTTGTACATTTTGACTTGGAAATGTGCTTCGCGCCACAACGGCGTGCAATTTTTCATCGCTCCTGTGGCCAGCTGGGTCCGCACCCGCCGCTTTAGCTAGCCTACTTTTCGACCCTCCGGAGCCACAAATCATTGGAAAAACACAGTGTTTCGCGACTTTCCTACCTTTTCGCGCATCTGTATCTTCTGTCCTCTTGCTCTTTCTCTTCTGATCTTCTCTCTTCCAATAAACTCTGTTCATGGTAACTGGGGCTTTGGTTTTTGCAACTGGGGCCTTGGTTTTGCAAGATATGATTTGCATGAGCCAAGCCAGGATTGAAAAATACAAGTTATATCCACTGCGCGGAGGAGGGATGAAAGCTAAAGGTAAAAGGATTAATGGGGATAGATGGACCCAGTGAAAATGGCTGACAGGAGATTCACTATTACTGGTCATCCGATTTCCAGTCTCACGCACCAGTGCCCAAGCTTCCGCCGCCAATTCTAGCCACTGCGCATGCGCCAAATGCGAGCAACCAAATACATTAATCCCTTGTCCTTCCTATCATTCACATCACAGCAACTACATGCAACATTACATGAGACGCAAGCTTCGACAAACACACGGGCTGTTGGCCCTTGATGTCTTTGATGTCACCAGAGACTCACCTCATCCTTGAAGATAGAGCAACCACATGCAAACATTGTGGACAGTTGGCACTTTCGTTTGAATGGACATGGAAATGTCCATTAGCTGCTGCGCCACCCCAATCATGCAGATCATATAAAGGGAGAGCTGCGAAGGGAAGGATCGCCATAATTTCACGCAATAAATCCACTAAAGTAGACTAGTAGTAACAAGCAGTAGCCACAAAGAATCAGACCAAGGACCGCCACATTCTATACGCCTTGCAGCCACAAGCGCCCACAAACGCTTTGTCACTAAAAAACATACGAGTATACAGAGCCGCCCTGCATCCCCCCGAATAGCGAGCGCCAAAAACTACAGCAGCTACCATGCACCCATGCCGTCATCACTCCTTCCAACTCAGATCACGGGAACCAGCGCCAAGTCAAAGCGATACTGATTTGGAATCGGCTTGTCGTTAGTTTTGGCGAAAAACAATCATGCGCAGAAGGCTTGAGCCGCCATGGATGCAGTGTGGCAGCAGTGTATGACAGATGCAACAGCAAAGTCCTTCGGAGCTTAAATTCCCATAAAAGGAAAAGACCAGTAGGTTAATCAAATCATAGAAAAATTTCAGTCTTAGACCCTGAGACCCTAAGACCAAGGACCAAAGACCAAGGACAAGGAGACCAACGACCAAACATGCGCGCCGAGCAAAGGACCTTAAAACCTGCCATCACACCAATGCGTGCGCTTCACATGCCCTGCGCCAGACGCTCGCTGCCACATTAGGAGTGCACCACATTAGCTACAGCTCGCAGCACCAAAAGTCATTCATTCCTTCATTCATCCTCCTCCTTCCCTCATCAAATCGATTGCGGCAACAAGTGCTCATGACCCTGTGCAAATGTTATCCATCCACTCGCACTTGTAGGCCTTGGCCAACCAGAGGCAATCTTGCATGGTTGTCAGGCACGCAATGGACCAGGAACCTAGCAAATGAGGAAAAAAATATTAGAGCAGAATGGAACCACTAGATTTTCTGGAGGTACCACAGAAGTTATACCGCGATAGCGCCAGCAACAACAATCTGCAAAGGCTATGGTGGGAAATATTTATCTTGCGCAAATTTTGCTAAGCCATGACGAGCTGCATCAGCCATTGCACGCAGCCGTTTTACAGGTTTGGATATATACTCTTCCCTGAAGGTTCTGTCATGTAGAAAGAAGCTGCTATAAATTAAGAGCTAGCAATGGCATGTACGGCGCCTTCTGAAACCAGTTGGACCATAGGATGCTGGATGCATTGGGATGCCATATTAACAACATCTTTCAGGTAAAAATTATTAAGCATTCCCCCCTTTGAAGTATGTTTCTTTCGACTGCCAATATTGACTAGCAGCGGTAGGCAGCGGTAGTGGCAACAGACGCGGATTGTAAGAAGCACGGTTTGACGGTTTTGGTCCTTGGTATTATAAGTTTGGGGGTTATTGTCTGTCATTGTCGCTTTTCCAAACAAGAACTGGTTCCCCAATGCAACCAACATGAAACAACAATTCTGCTGCATCGCACACAAAATTTATTAATTACAACCTACAACTAATCCAACGCATTGTCACACTTCTCCTGGGGCATGGGCATGCCAGGGAAAGACTGATAATAGGACTTGTGATTGTGGATGGGAAATGTGCCACAAGGAACACGGACCATGATCTTGATAGCTAGGGGACTGTAGATGGGTGCCATCATGATGATGACGATGACGACAATGGCCATGGTGATGCTGACGGTGACAGCGAACACGAGAGGGAGAATTACATGCAATGATGATGGTGGTGGTGATGAAGATGAAGATGATGATGATGATGATGGTGATGATAATGGTCATGATGATGATGATGATGACAATGGCAGTGACTACCATGAAGTCACCCCAGGGAATGAACGGTGGAACACATGCTATCAGCAGCTACGTAATGCGCTTTAATACAACTTCATCCTAACTTTGACCTGGTATATAGAGATGCATAGTGCCAATAAATACCTGTTTATCACCCCTTGGTTCTATATGTTCGCTAAAAACCTATTGTAGTTTTCCATTCGTTAAAGAAAAACAACGGGTAATCCTGTATATTTCAAGTATCCCAGTTCAAGGTCTGCGGTTCTTTGGTTGTTGGTCTTTGGTCTTCGGTCCAATTGCCTGCGCTAGCCTCGCCTGCCAGCGCGCAGCAGCCGCACACAGAGGCTCGTTCCGGACATGTGTAACTACTTCTTGGTTCTCGGTGTTTGGTCTTGGGTCAGAGCATGGATGCTTTCATTTGTGCAAACTACAACATGCAAAAAGCGTTCTGGAAACCGTTCCGGAAAGAAAGCGCGAACCACAAACCACCAGGCTCAAAACTGTGGGAAAATTGCATGCTTTTCATTTGGGAATCAGAAAAAAAAACCTTAAACAATAGATTCATTGTAAGATCAAAAAACCAAAGCAGAACCTGTGAATAGCTTGGAATTTCCAGCCCCGCATCCCAGTACAGCCCTTGCCTCTGTTTTTCCGCAATGCATTAACTTGTGCAGTTCCGCCTGATAGCTGGAAAGGACCAAGGTCTTAATCAAAAGTGTGCGCCTGACTTTATCCAGGCCCATTTTGGTTTCCGGAGAATTGTCTTGAATTCTTTCTGTGTCTCCCTCCATGAAAATTGTGGCGTGGTAAAGGCCGTGGTCGTGGTCTTGGCCGCAGCAGTGACCCCAAGAATTCAGAGCCAAGTGGCCTAGGTGATTCTGTCCCTGCATCTGGGTCTTCGGCCCCTGGGTCAAAGGTCTCTAGGTCTTCGTCCCAAGTTCTTCAGTCCCAGGTTTTGAAGACCCTCCAGTGGCTGCAGCAGCTCACCGAGGAAACGACAGCAGCTCAGCCCAAGGCCAATGCCAAGGTCAAGGCCAACAGCAAAGCCAAGGCCAAGGCCAAGGCCAAAGGTGCAAGAGCAGCTCGAAACACCAAGGGCACTGTCCCCCAAACAACCCCCAGAAGCTCGCTGTTTTCCTGAAAATGAAGGAGTTGTACCATGAGACCAAATCCAAGCCCATTCCTGGTGACCGGAAGAGGAAAGGAAAGGGCGCCAGTGAAACCCAAGGAGAGCACTGGGGATTCATGCATCAGAAGATGCCTGAGTTGGCAAAGGAAGGTGTCCAAGGAGGTGAACGCATGAGGTTGGCAGCAAAGGCTTGGAAGGAACGTACTGGCAATGAAGGCAAGAGCAAAGCCAGTACCAAAGGCCAAAACCCGCAGAGGGGACGACATGGATCTTGTTTCATGGCGCCACAGA